ATTTATTTTTAATTGGAGGATAATTGTTTTAGTGTTGGTTTATGCCATATATCCACATGAATCAGCCATAGGTATACATATGTTCGCTCCCTCTAGAAAGATGGTACTGATGAGCCTATCTGTGAATCTGCAGGGCAGCAATGAAGATGCAGACATACTTGTGGACACAGTGGGGGGAAAGAACGGGGTGGAATGAATTGAGAGAGTAGTAAAATTTAGTGCCATAAAACAAAAAGCTACTTCTCATGATTCTGGGGATTGAGGAGGCATTTCTGCTGATTTCTCTGGAATTTATGCATGCAGCTGCAACAGATGGGGCTGGACGGGGGCTTGTGGCCAGGGTGCTTTATTTCTCCTCTGTGCAGCCTCTCCATGGGACAAGCTTGGGCTTCCTTACAGCATGGGGTCTCAGAGTTCTAGCTTCTAGTTCTTTTAAGAACTGGACCTAGAGCTGGCCCAGGGTCATTTCTGCTACATTTCTATGAGTCAAAGCAAGTCACAAGCCAGCCAGATGGAAGGAGAAAGGACTCAGAGTCTACATGTTGGAGGGAGAAGCCACATACCAGCACAGAGGAGGAGGAATTACCGGAGCCGCCAGGTCCTGTGTGTGTGTGTGCGCGCTTAGTCGCTCAGTTGTGTCTGACTCTTTGTGACCCCAGGGACTATAGCCTGCCAGGCTCCTCTGTCCATACATTTCCCAGGCAAGAATACTGGAGTGGGTTGCCATTTCCTCCTCCAGGGGATCTTCCCAACCCAGGGATCAAACCGGCATCTATCTCTTGCACTGGTAGGGAAACTCTTTACCACTGAGCCATGGGGCACTGCACCTAATCCTCAAGCAACCTTGTGGGTATAATCTTCCTAATTTCACAGGTCTCACAGCACACACAGCTAGGGACGCAGAGCTGAACATGAACTTGGGTCTGTCTCTAAACCAGGCTGTATGTGTGTTGTGTTATTATGTTTCACCCAGAAAAGTAACTGTGGCCATGTCAAGGCTTAACCCAACTGACCCAAAGTCTCAAGACACCCAGATTGTGAGACTGATGGTTTAGTTGTTAAGTTGTGTCCAATTCTTTGCAACCTCATGGACTCTAGCCAGCCAGGCTCCTCTGTCCATGGGATTTCCCAGGCAAGAATACTGGAGTGGGTTGCCACTTCCTTCTCCAGTGGATCTTTCTGACCCAGAGATCGAACCCTGGTCTGCTGCATTGCAGGCGGATTCTTTATATATACATATATGACTTAATAAAACAAATTATTTTTAATTGGTAGGGAACACAGAAGTACAAAGGATAGAATAAAAACAGAGAGGCATGCATTTGGAGACAAAGACCAGGAGACAGAAACTCAGAAGCAAGGCCAGTGAGTACAGAGAGAGAGAAGCAGATTCACAGAGACAAAGCAAAAGCAAGAGAGAGATTGACAGAACCACAGGGTCTCCCTCCCTTAGCCAGGAAGCTCCTGGGGCAGCGATTTTGTCTGTGTTCTTATTACTGTACCCTGAATGCTTACAGCAGTATCTGACACTCAGTAGGTACTCAATAGATGGATTGTTTAGTCGGTAAGTCGAGTCTGACTCTTTTGTGACCCCATGGACTCTAGCCCACCAGGCTCCTCTGTCCATGGGATGTCCTAGGCAAGAGTGGGGTGGGTTTCCATTTCCTTCCCCAGGGGATCTTCCTGACCCAGGGATCAAACTCTCATCTCCTGCATTGCAGGCAGTTTCTTTCCCTGGTGGCTGAGAATCCGCCTGCAATGCAGGAGACCCAGGTTCCATCCCTGGCCGATCCTCTGGAGAAGGGCATGGTTACCCACTCCGGTATTCTTGCCAGGAGAATTCCACGGATAGAGGAACCTGGTGGGCTACAGCGCATGGGATAACAAAGAGTCGGACACGACTGAGCAACTAACACTTTCTTTTTCCTTTACCGTCTGAGCCACCGGGGAAGCCCAACAGATGAACATTATACTGGAAATGAGTTTGGGTAAACTCTGGGAGTTGCTGATGGACAGGGAGGCCTGGCGTGCTGCAGTCCACGGGGTCTGCACGACTGAGCGACTGAACTGAACTGAGACGGGAAAAATAGAGAGCCTGCAGTTCCCCCCAGATACCACCAGGTGGCAGGATCCCAAGGCCCTGAAGCCTCCTAAAGTGTAAATCCAGAAGACAGCGGTAGGAGGATTTGAGGCCACAGGCCTCAGACGTGCAGGATGTCTTCCCCCCGGGCTGAGCCCCGCCTTTCCCTGCACGAGCCCTGGGCGACGAGTGACCTTTCCGTCTGAGACAACCTCTTCACCCGCTCCGCCACCCTGCCGAGTTAAACACCTCTTTGTCTTGGCCCCTTCCGGCTGGGCCCCAAGGCATGTGGGTCCTTTCCAGGCCCGGAGATGGAGCTGGGATGAAGGTGGGGCAGCTGGGAGGAGGCCAAGTGAAAGTCCTAAGGATTTGTAAATAAGTTCTAGTCTTCCTGGACCAGCGCTGTGGGATTCAGGCCCCCTCCTCCCTCAGACCCGGGATCCAGGCCCCCAGCCCCCTCTTCCCTCAGACCCAGGGGTCCAGACCCCCAGCCCCTCCTCCCCTCAAAGTCCCAGGCCGCTGCCCCACCCCCTCCTCCCGGCAGAGACCTCTCTGGTGCTCCCCCTCCCTCTCTTTTCAGAGACCCCTCTCCCCCTGCACTCCCCGCTCCAGGCTCGAGAACCAGGCTGAGTCACAGGAAGCGCCGGGGCCCTGAGTCACCAACCCCCTCTCTGGGCTGCAGGGAGCTGGCTCTGGAGCCGCGTGTCCTAGCAGCTGGACCCCCCCGCCCCCCAGCCCGGAACTTCCCTGTGGAGGCAGGTGCCCTTGCCACTGGACCTCACCGCCCACCCTGGCATCTCCCCCGCCTGCCTTCTCTCCGCTTTTCTCTTTTGGTTTTGGTCTCTTTGGAGGCAAAATTCCCCTCTGCTCCAACTTCCAAGTCTTTGATTCTGACTGCTGCTTTCTCCTCACCTTTGGGTCTCTTCTGTCTCCATCTCTTTGAGTTTGTTAAAAAAAAAAAAAAAAAACTTCCCTCCCCCCTCTCTCCCACCATCCCCTCCCCTCTGTTCCTTCTCTGTCTGTCTGTCTGTCAGTCTCTCTGTCTCCAACATTCGAGGTCCCCCTTATTGTCTCTCTTCCCTCATGTTCACAGTTGCCTGCATGGGTGCATGGAGGCAGTGGCGGGCCTGGGGCTAGGGGTCTCCGTTCTCAGGCAGCCGCAGTCTGGGTGTCTCTGGCCTTTGGCCCCGAAGTGAGGCTGGGGTGGAACGGGGCGGGGGTGGGGGGGGGCGGGCAGGTTGGGGAGGCAAGGCTGTCCCCAGCTGTGTCTCTGCAGAGGAGAGGGAAACCGAGGCAGAGATGAGCTTAGCAAGGTCCAGAAACACAGAGCACTAGAGACAGAGAGAGGATGAGACAGAGAGCAAGAGATAGAGACCGGGAGTCAGAGTGGGGATTCTCTGGAGGTTCAGTGGTTAGGACTCTGTGCTTTCCCTGTTGAGGAGCTGGGTTCAATCCCTGGTTGGGGAACTAATATCCTGCAAGTCACATGGCACAACCAAAAAAGAAAAAGAGAGACAGAGACGGGAAGACAGACATACAGACAGTGAGAACACGGAAGAGGGGCATGGAAGCAGAAAGACAAGGACAGGGAGAGACAGTGAAATAGAAAAGCAGACGGATCATCAGATATCACCTATATATGGAGTCTTAAAAAAATGGTACAAATAAACTTACTTACAAAACAGATATAGAGTCAGAGACACAGAAAACGAACTTATGGTTACCAAGGTAAAAGGAAAGTGAAGTTGCTCCGACTCTTTGCGACCCCATGGACTGTATGTAGCCTACCAGGCTCCTCCTTCCATGGGATTTTCCAGGCAAGAATACTGGAGTGGGTTGCCATTTTTTTCTGCAGGGGACCTTCCACACCCAGGGATCGAACTCTGTCTCCCGCATTGCAGGCAAAAGGGGGTGGGATAAATTGGGAATTTGAGATTAAAGAATACCCAATACTATATAAAAAATAGAGAAACAAAAAGGACCTACTGTATTGCATAGGGAACTACATTCAATATCTTGTAATAACCTATCATGGAAAAGAATCTGAAAGGAAATATATATTTACACACACACATACACATATATAACTGATTACTTGCTGTACACCAGAATCATTGTAAATCAACTATACTTCGTAAAAGTTTTAAAAAGCAGTGGGATGCAGAGACAGAGAGATGCTGAGAGACACAGAAACACAAAGAAGCAGAGAGAGAGAGAGAAACGGAACCACACAAATGCAGAGTCAGAGGTATTTTGAGAGAGAGAGAGAGAGCCGGAAGAGACAGAGGGGCTTAAAACAGAGGAAAACAGAGGCCGAGAAAGACAGCCGGAGACGGAGATGAAGACGAACCCAGAGGCTTCCAGAGTGGGAGAGACAAGAGGAGCCCGAGGAGAGGCCCCGGGAAGCCGAGAGGGAGGAGAGGAGAGATGGGGGGCTGCAGTCTCGGGATCGCCCAGAGGCGTCAGCGTCTCCTCCGCGCCTGCACGCGCGTGCGTCTCCAGCACTCTCCCGCCGCGTCTCAGCCTCGCGTCCTGAGCGGGAATCACCCGCGCGGCATGGGGCAGGGCCCCAGCCTAGGTTGTGTTTCTGTCGCCGGGCGTGTCTGTGTGTGCGGTTCGGTGTCTCTGGGCGTGTCTGTGTGGGTTGCGTTGGTGTGATGCCAGGCATGTCTGTGTGCGTCTCATTGCCCTGTGGCTGGCGGGTCCGTGTTCTGCTTGACATGTGACTCCGGGGAAGGGAGAGGGGTTCCTGTGAGTCCCTCCTCCCCGCCCGGAATGGTGTCCAGGGGTCCACGGGCCACACCTGGAGAGGGGTTTTGTGTCACCCCGCCAGCAAGTCCTCGTGCGTTGCTGCGGGAGGCTTTTGATCTGTGTCCGGCTGTATACAGTAGAGACCCGTGCATGACTTCTGTGCAGCTGCATGTGGTCACGTGACACACGCCATGTGGCTGTCACTCTGGGAGTCATCATGCGTCACCCTGCGTTGCATTTGCTATTCTGTACATCAGCGCACGTGCTGTGTCTGTTTATAGGTTTTGTGTGTCTCAGTGATGTGACACTGTGCTCTTCTTCAAGGTGTAAATCCATGTTGCAGGCCTCTCTTTCCCTGCCAAGAACACAGCCTGGGGATCCACACTCAGAGTGTTGTGACTGTGTGGCTGTGTATTACACTGTACCAGAGGGTGTCCCCCTGGTGCTGTGTGGGTGTTGTTACCGGCCTAGGTGATGGATGTGTCAGTCGGCCACGTCCACCAGTCCATGGGACACGGTGTCTGTGCTGGGCAGTACTCTATCAGTGTCTTTGTGGATTATTATGTATGTGTGGTGTTTGTGTGGCCACTGGTGTTGGGTGTATCATGTGCTGGGCGATGCGCGGGTGTGGTATGTGGTGTCTGTCAGTCTGAGGCAATGGTAGGTGTTCTGTTCCGTGGACGTGGCTCTTGGGCACCAGGGCCTGTGTAGCCTGTGTGCCCGGCCTCCCTCCCCCGGGTACCATTCTGTTGTGTCCTGTGTGATGCACCAAGATAGATCAGGATGTCTTGTAGGGGCAGCTGCCAGCTGGGTTTCTGTGTGTGTCACTGTGCCTGTAGGTCCTTTCCTAACGCATCCATCCGTACTGCTCTCTGGCTGTATATTTGAATGGCAGTGTGTACTTGGGTTATACTGTGTGTTGAGGTGAATCCGTGTGTGTTGTGAATCATTCTATGAGCGTATATGTTGGAGTCACCACATGCCATGATGTACGTCACTGTGTGTTTCTGTGCTAGGTGAATGGTGACTGCCATGGGTGTGTCCCTAAGTGCTGTGTGTCCGCATGTATTGGGTACTGTTCCACGGGTGTGTGATGGCTGAGTGCCTTGTTCACACAGATATGCTGTGCGTGGCACTTGGGGATTGCTAAGTCAATACAGATTGCGTGTTTGTGGAACACTTGTATAGGTCGTGTTTGTGTAGCTATGGACAGGCATCACCCCGTGTGCTGTGTCTGGGTGTGGCTGTTGGTGTCAGACAATGTTGTGCCAATTTTGATTGTGATGTCTGTGCTTGTGTGTGGACAATATTTGGGTGGCCCTGTGCGCCACGGGGCCCTGCCTGCTCGCTAAGTGCCGGCGTGTGTCACACCGTGTGTGTGTGTGGTGTCTGGGTGTGGCTGTGGGTTTCAGAGCTTGTCGGGAGTTGTGAGTCACTCGGTGTCAGTAGCGTTGTGTGCCCATGGGTGTTAGGTTCCGTCTCTGGCCATGCCATGTTTCAGGGTGTAATCACTGCGTGCTGCGTGGTGTCCGGGTGTGGCCCAGTGTAGGTGTGTATTATACGCTGCAGACTGTTGTGTGTGACAAAGCCCATTGTGTGTTGGTGTGTGTGTGTGTCTTAATCCACGTGGACGCACGCCTCTTCCTTGCTCTGCCCTAAGACACACCCCCGCCCCTCCTTAGTCTGAGAAGGGGGGCTGGGGAGCCTCCCCTCTGCCCGGGGGCCTCCTCAGCACCTCCCCGCCCTGCCCAACAGTCACCACCTCCCAGAGGGCACAGACTCTGCGGTACCTCAAAGCACAAGCCCAGAGCAGGAGCAGAGCAGGCCGGGGACCTCAAGCCACTGTGGCTGCCCTTTGCGTGCTGCGAGGTGGGGGACCCTGGGCAGGAAGCTGGCTGGGCCCCAAGACCCAGGGAGCCATGGGCGGGGAGCTGGTGCCGGGCCTGGGGGCCCTGCGGCGGCGAAAGCGCCTGCTGGAGCAGGAGAAGAGTCTGGCTAGCTGGACGCTGGCACTGGCAGGAACTGGCATTGGACTCATGGTCCTGCACGCGGAGATGCTGTGGTTCGGGGGGTGCCCGGTGAGTGGAGGGTAGAGGCAGAGACTTCTAGTCTTGAAGGAGGAGGGGCTGGGGGCCAGGACTCCTGGGTCTGAGGGAAGAGGAGGGGCTGGGGGCTGAGACTCCAGGGTCAGAGGGAGGTGGGGCCGGGGACCCCCGGGTCTGAGTGGAGGAGGTTGAGTGCCGGACTCCTGGGATGCAGGGAGGGAAATGGTAGGGGGCCCCCTCTGCAAAAGGAAGGGAAGAGGGGTCACAGGGTGTCAATTTGAAGATACTGCAATCAGACAGTTGGAGGTCCAAGGGGTGGCTGGTCAGATACTGGAGTCTCCCACGAGCAGATTAGGGGAGGGGTAGCCCCAGGTTCAGTGAAGGGAGGGTGAGGAGAAAGGCTGACTTCTTCCAGTAGGCGGAGGCTCCTTAGTCCTTATCTGAACTCGAATGTTTGCCCAGTATCTCAGAGGCAAAGGGCAGAGACAGAAAAAACTGGCTGAGGTTGAGGGCGCTGTGGGGGGGGTGGGGGTGGAAGAAGCACCGCCCCCCCCCCCACCAATTCCATCCCCATTATCAAGAAGCTCAGCTTCCTCAGAATCTATTTAGTCTGAGAAATAAGGGAGAGGTTTTCTCGTAGGCTGGACTCCTGGGTCCCGGGTAGGAGAGGCTGGGGGCCTGGGCTCCTGGGTTTGAAGAGGAGGGCGCTTAGAGCATGTGTAGGGGAAGAGGGGCTGACTTCTAGGATAGTGTGAGTGGGGAAGGAAAGAACAGGTGGGGCCCCGACAGGTTTGAGCAGGCTTCCAGCACATTCCAGCCCAGGTCCAGGCTGTGATGGGGGCAGATGAAGGCCATGGGTCAGAACTGGCAGCTGGAGGACGGGACAGAATTGCTCAACAGGAAAGGAGGGGCTGCAGATCTGTCTGGGGCAAGGGGCGTGGAATTGGGCTCGTTGGGGGGCCCTGGATTTGAGGGTTGAGGTGGGGGCATTCCCGGGGACAAGGCTCAGGCTTGCCTTTGGGAGAGGCAGGCAGCTTTGAAGGGCCCAGGAGCCCCACTGAGGGTCGGGGCAGGCTGGCTTCCTCTGGCTGGATGAGGGCAGCGGGCACTGAGGGGGTGGGGCCGCCGAAGCCCAGGCCAACAGGAAGCATGGCCAGGCTGACCCGCCGCTCCCAGGCTTCAGCACCCCGCCCAGCAGGGGAGGTGAGGCTAAGGGGGCAGATGCAATGGGTCGGGGGTCTTTCCTTCACCACCCAGTCCCTCGGCCCTCTCACCTCCCCCTGCTTCCCTCCACTGCCCACCAGGCTGCTGCCTCCAGCAGGGCGACTCTGGCCTCTGCTGAAGCTCTCTGGGCCCGTTTCCTCAACTGGCAACTGGGGGTGAGGGTTGAAATAGATGACCCGAAGGGTCCTCCTCAGCCCCCTTTCTATGACCGCCTTGACAATACCCATGTCCCCTCCCCACCTCCATCACAATCCATCACAATCTAATGAATTCATTCTGCAGGGATCCAGACACCTGCTGGTAGCAGGGAGGGGCTGAGGGGCCAGACCCCACTGGGACAGGGGCGCTTGAGGGATGCAGCCGGGAGGGAGAGGGAGGATGGTGAGGGGCACAGAGAGGCTACCCAGGTGGTGCTAGTGGTAAAGAACCCGCCTGCCAGTGCAGGAGACATAAGAGATGCTGTTTTGACCCCTGGGCTGGGAAGATCCCCTGGTGGCGATCCACTCCAGTATTCTTGCCTGGAGAATCCCATGGACAGAGGAGCCTGGCAGGCTACAGTCCAGAGAGTCGCAAAGAGTCGGACACGACTGAAGCGACTCACACAAACACATAGAGGCAGAGATTTACAGAAAGACGAAGACAGAGACCAAGACAACGATGCAGTAAGAGACAAGAGTGCTACAGACAGAGAAGGGGGTGCAGGATTCGGGGCAAAAGGAATTGCAAAGCAGAGAGGACCACCAGAGAAGTGGACGACAGAGCTGTGGAGGGCTGGGTCAGGTGGGGTGCGGGTTGAGACAAACTAAAGAAACGGACAGGGAATTGGGGAGCCATAGAAGGATGAGGGGTTGGGAGAGGGCTAGGGACAACAGCACCATTGTTTGGAGAGGGTTGGGGGGGGGCAGGCCCCCCGGGGCAGGAAACTGGCCCTTTTCCCCTGCACAGAGGCGGGGCCCGGGCCAGGCCGGCGGGGAGAGCTGGCAGCGTTCTAGAAGAAACAGGTGCTGAACTCAATGCGGGTGCCCAGGTGGCCCTTTCCCCCGACACTACCTTCCAGGCAGGCACCCCCTCCCGGCCCTTCCTAGGGAATCCAGCAGTCCCATTCCCCTCTAAATCTCTCCCTTAAGAATTCTAGATTCCTCCAAGGTATAGACGCACAAAGAGAGGGAAAAAAAAACTTCCCGTGGTTTCTGGAGGCCATGTGCTTCCGGCCAGATCTGCCCTGGGCTTGGAGCCAGGAGAGAGGGCAGGAGGCAGTGGGGGGGGGGGCGGGGGGGAAGGGACATGCAGGGCAGGACTGGAGGCCTTTCTCAGAGCTGGGGCTGGGGGTCTCAGGGACCCAGCTCCTGAATGAGGGCAGGGGAGGGTGTCATTCATTCCTTGGGGATTGAGTGACAGTTTCTAGGCTCCTTAGGAATTGGGTTGCTGGGGTAGGGGGAGACTTGAAGTTGTTTCTAGGGCAGAGACCAGCTGGGGAGGAAGGGAAGAGGAGGGACACTCTTTAGAGGATAAATGTCTGTTTCTAGACACCCCTCCACCAACTGAGAACTATTTTTGATGGGGACCGGTACGTACGCGGCAGTTAGGAAGGAATGTGTGTTTTGAACTCTTCTCTCAGGGGTGTGGTCTTAGGAGAGGCTGAGGAGGATGGTGAACCCTGCATCTGGGCCAGGGCTGTCCCCTTAGGAAGAAAGAGGGTGCTCTCCTTGGGGACCCGATGACAGTTTTGAGGCTTCCCCAGACCTGGAGGCATCAGGAGACGGCTGGACTGGGGGTGGGGTTAGGAGGCTAGGAATCAATGGGAAGGGAGAAGGGATGGCAGTTTGGGAGGAGGGTAGAGGGGACAGAGCAGGTGGAGACCTAGGATCTCACCCCTTTCTCTCTCCCTCCCAACAGTGGGCGCTCTATCTGTTCCTGGTTAAATGCATGATCAGCATTTCCACGTTCCTGCTCCTGTCTCTCATCGTGGCCTTTCACGCCAAAGAGGTCCAGGTAGGGCAGGCCCCGCCCCCAGCCCCTTCTGGCTCCCCCCAGCCCCCCCACCCCACCCCCCTGTCAGCTCACACTTTCCGGCCTGCTGGGCTGAGTAATGAGCTTCCTCCACCCTGAGATGCATCCACACCCTTATCTACCCCGCGGGGATGAACCGTGGACAACAGACAGAGCCTCCCGGAGCAGCCCTGACCTTCCTCCACCTGCTGCCCTCTGACTCACCTGTAGGTGCTGAGAGTTCCCGCCCCCAGGCCTCCCTGTCCACTCTAGCTCCAGGCTGCCTCACACCAGGCCCAGCTTCCCAGATCTCCCTTCTTCAACCCTTGGGCCCCCACCTATTCCGGTCCCAACAACTCAGATCCTAGTTTTGTGCCTGAAGTCCTTCGGCATGCCTGAGCTCCCCACCTCTGTGCCAGTGACCCCCAGATCCAGGCACCCTGCATCCCACCCACATCCCCCCCTGCCATCGCATGTCTCAATCCACACTGGGCTCCCCACCCCTTCCCCTCTCCTCCCATCTTCCACACCCCCAGATCCTGTTCCCTTCCCCCACCACCTTGACGTATAAAATGAGGGTTATTGGCCAAGTGTGGTATGCCCTTTGCAGAGGCTGGCATATAAGATATGCTCAGTAAGAAGTACACCTTATCATTCATAGCAGTCATTCAAGTAGTTAATCGGCCTGATTTCGTAGCCCAGCTGCCCCTGAGCGCCCTGGGCCTCAGTTTCCACATCTATTAAAATGGGGGGTAAGAATACCTTCAATCTCACTGTTTTGTGAGCATTCCGGGAGTCACAACACCCAAAGAGGATAGTGCAATGCCTGGCACCCCCCAGGTGCCCCGCACATGTTGGCTATTGTCATTGTAATGGGATGATGCCAGTTACACTACCGGGTCCCCAGAGACAGGAGTAAGGCCTGGCTCCATGGATGTGGAATGTAGGCTCCAGGGAGGAAGGCGTTTTTGTCTTGTTCACCCATATCCTCAACATATCTCAACGTCGCGCACACAGTAGGCACTCAATAAGTGTTCCTGGGCTGGAGGTTCTGGAAGTAGGCTGCACGGGACACGGGAGAGAAGGCGGAGAGCTGTCTTCCTCGGGTCCTGCCGCGTCCCTTCCCCACCCTCCCCGGCCCCAGGCCCTACGCTATCTGTCTCCCTCTGCGGCCCCGCGGGCGCTCCCCCCTTATCTCCCCACGCAGGCTGGGGAGCCGGCACCTGACCTTCGCGTGACTCGCTCCTTCTCCATCCGCCCCCATCCCCGCAGCTGTTCATGACGGACAACGGGCTCCGGGACTGGCGCGTGGCGCTGACCGGGCGGCAGGTGGCGCAGATCGTGCTGGAGCTGGTGGTGTGCGGGTTGCACCCGCCGCCGGTGCCGGGCCCGCCGTGCGTGCTGAGCTCGGGGTTCCCGAAGACCACGGCCACGCAGTCCTGGCCCAGCTTCCTGGACCAGGGGGAGGCGCTGCTGTCGCTGGCCATGCTGCTGCGCCTATACCTGGTGCCCCGCGCCCTGCTCCTGCGCAGCGGCGTCCTGCTCAACGCCTCCTACCGCAGCATCGGCGCGCTCAACCAGGTCCGCTTCCGCCACTGGTTCGTGGCCAAGCTGTACATGAACACGCACCCCGGCCGCCTGCTGCTCTGCCTCACGCTTGGCCTCTGGCTCACCACCGCCTGGGTGCTGTCGGTAGCCGAGAGGTGAGGGTGCCAGGGCGAGAGGGGATGGAGGGTACCTGGAGCCTCTGGAGGAGCCGCTTACAACCATGCTTGCCCTGCACGGTGGTGCAGATTGGGGCTCCCCAGGACCAAGCAGTGGAGAAAACTATCTGTCCACACTCTTCTGCGGCCGGGTGGGAAGAACCGACAGACCAGCCCCAAAGCCTTTCCTCCACCTGCAGCCTCCAGTCCCCCCCACCCCCCAACTGCCACCCCCCAACACACATATACCCTAGGAAGCCCCGCCCTTCCTGCCTCAAATCTTCTCCTGCCTCTGGTGTCCAGGTATAATGCAGGCACTAGGTTCTAGCCAAGGGTTGCACCTACTTTGAAGGAAGGAGATGTTCTGCTTTTCGAAATTAGCACAGATGCACTGGTAGGTGCTCCTAACGGCCCCAGGGCTGCCCCGGAAGAAATTCCCAGCTGCCTGCTGGCCTCTGGCCTGATGCTGGAACTGTACCCCATCAGGGCCTCCACTTAGCTCTGTCGTTGTTTAGTCACCAGGTCCTGTCCGACTCTTTGCGACTCCATGGCCTGTAGTCTGCCAGCCTCCTCTGTCCCTGGGATTTCCCAGGCAAGAATACTAGAGTAGGTTGCCATTTCCTTCTCCAGGGATCTTCCCAATCCAGAAATCTAACCCACGTCTCCTGCATTAGCAAATGGATTCTTTACCACTGAGCCACCAGGGAAGCCCCATTTATCTTACAGATAAAAGAAATTGGGGGTAATCTTAGCCAGTGGTTCTGGGACCAGCAGCATCTCCTGAATTCAGCTCAGTTCAATTGCTCAGTTGTGTCCGACTCTTTGCAACCCCATGGACTCAAGCATGCCAGGCCCCCCTGTCCATCATCAGCTCCTGGAGTTTACTCAAACTCATGTCCATTGAGTCGATGATGCCATCCAACCATCTCATCCTCTATTGTCCCCTTCTCCTCCTGCCTTCATCTTTCCCAGCATCAGGGTCTTTTCCAATGAGTCAGTTCTTTGCATCAGGTGGCCAAAATATTGGAGCTTCAGCATCAGTCCTTCTGATGAATATTCAGGACTGATTTCTTTAGGATGGACTGGTTGGATCTCCTAGGAGTCCAAGGGACTCTCAAGAGTCTTCTCCAACACCACAGTTCAAAGCATCAATTCTTCGGCACTCAGCCTTCTTTATAGTCCAACTCTCACATCCATACATGACTACTGAAAAAACCATAGCTTTAACTAGACGGACCTTTGCTGGCAAAGTAATGTCTCTGCTTTTTAATATGCTGTCTATCTCCTGGGAACTGGTTGCAAATCCAAATTCGCAGGCCCCACCCGTATCTATGGAATCCAAGACGCTGATGGGTGGGACCCAGCAATCTGTTTTTAACAGTTGATTCTGATGCTGGCTCGAGTTTGGGAACCTCTAGTTTAGTACATGGGTCAAAGGATTCTTGAGGGGAGGTGGAGAATGGGACCATCTGCCCTGAGATCTCTCCTCTCTGAGCAACTGAGAGGCGAAATCCACAAACTTGAATGTGCTTTGGGATGAAGGGGGGTGGGGCTTAACTGTACAGATTCAACCCCCACCTCCGGACACTAACTTAGTGGTTTTGAGGTGTCTGGGACCCTGGTGAATGATGCTTTCTTTGCTCTGGCCTAACTATGGGTCAGAGTTAGACACATCCTGGTTTTCAGTCGTTTCTATGATGGACCTAAATATCCCCTTCCATGAAGTGTGGGGAAAGAAGAGAGTCCCCCCACCCAAGCCTTTTTAGAGTTCCACCTTTTTAGTCCTGATAGAGCCACTTTTAGGCCATATAGAATCTTTGTGGAAATCAGAAAACCCACCCTTTCTCTGGGTGGAGGCAGTCCCCTGCCAGGGACTGACAAGTGAACTTCAGGCTAGGTTTCTTCCCCCTTTAAACCCCTCAACCACATTAAATGCAGCAGCCCTGGTAGCCTAGCTGAAACCAAATCGGCTTTGGAATTGACAGGATCCAGGTTCAAAGCCCACAGCCCACAGTGGTTGAGCATCTTGTCTAGGTCACACAGCAAAGAGGAGGCCAGGCAGGCTTACCAGAGCCAGGCAAGCTTTGAGTGCTTTTTTTTTGAGTGTGGGTGTGTGCTAAGAAAGAGGGTATCAAACACCACAGGAACCCCAGAACTAACCCTCTCTTCCCCTGTAGGCAGGCTGTTAATGCCACCGGGCACCTTTCGGACACACTGTGGCTGATCCCCATCACATTCCTGACCATTGGCTATGGCGATGTGGTGCCAGGTACAATGTGGGGCAAGATTGTCTGCCTCTGCACTGGTGTCATGGTGAGTACATCCAGTCAGGGACTCCTGTATTGCACACTGCTCATCCTCGGGCCCCAGGAAACCATGGAGCCAACTGAGGCACTCAGGGACACCCCAAGAAACTTGGGTGTCTGGACCCCCACTGCCTCATTCCCTGGCCATGTTGTTGTTTTTGTTGTTCAGATGCTAAGTCGTGTCCAAGTCTTTGCAACCCCATGGACTGTAGCATGCCAGGCTATTCTGTCTCCCAGAGTTTGCTCAAATTCATGTCCATTGAGTTGGTGATGCTATCTGACCATCATCCTCTGCTGTCCCCTTTTCCTATTGCCCACAGTCTCTCCTAGCATCAGGGTCTTTTCCAATGAGTTGGCTCTTCCCATCCGGTGATCAAAGTATTGGAGCTTCAGCTTCAACAAGAGTCCTTCCAATTATATTCAGAGTTGATTTCCTTTAGGATTGACTAGCTTGATCTTGCTGTCCAAGGGGACTCTTGAGTCTTCTCCAGCACCACAGTTCAAAAGCATCAATTCTTCGGCGCTCAGCCTTCTTAATGATCCAGCTCTCACATCTGTACATGACTGCTGGAAAAACCATAGCTCTGACTACACGGATCTTTGCTCAGAACACAGACACAAGCCCTATTTCCTTTGACAATCCCAGGAATCCATCCCCTAAAGTCCTAGCCCTCTCTGGAACCTACCACCCCAGACTTCATCCTCCTCAGGAACCTGCCAGCCCTTTTTCTCTTTTTCCTCCCAGAATTCAGGAACCCAGCCCTGAGTTCCCCCAAGGCTCAGGATCTTGCTCTCTCCCCTCTTTACCCTCTCAATCGTCCAGGACTCAGGGTACCTGGTTTCCCAGCTCCAGGTTCCTTCAGGACCCAGGGATCCAGTCTCCCCGTCTCAATTAAGGCTATTGCATATGGATATCAGGAGCATGCCTGTGGGCTTGGGCTGCTCGAGTTCAAATTCTGTTTCTGCCACTTCCTAGCTGGGAGTCGGCCATATAATCTTTCTGGGCCTCAGTTTCCTTGTCTAGAAAATGGGGGTGATGATACCAGTGTACTGCTCAAGGAGCTCCTGAGAAGACTAAATGAATTAAACCATGTAAAGGGTCTCAAAAGGGCTTTCCAGGTGGCTCAGTGGGTAAAGAATCTGCCTGCAATGCAGGAGACACAGAGACACAGGTTCGATCCCTGGGTCAGGAAGATCCCCTGGAGAAGGGCATGGCAACCCACTCCAGTATTCTTGCCTGAAGAATCCCATGGACAGGGGAGCCTGACAGGTTGCAAAGAGTCGGACATGACTGACGCAACTGAGCATAGCACACAAAGGGTCTTGAGCACAGGAAATGCTCTGGAAATGGATCGGGGTGGCGATGGGGAAACTGTTATTGCAGCTGGTTCCGGGCATGTGGCTGTCTGCTGCCCTGGCTCCTGTGCCCTCAAGGATGAGACAGAGGGCTCCCTAAGCCCTAGACCCAAGCCTCTTCCCCAGAGTCAGCCTCCCTCCCTCTGAACCTAGACACCCACCCCCTTCCCTTCATAGACCCAGCACCCAATGCCTTGGCCTCCACCTCCCTATGCGATCTGGCTCCCCTCAAGCTCAGGAATTCACACCAACAGCCCCCAGCCTTGATTTGTCCCAGAAAGGACATGCTGAACCCCCGAGTCCTGGGTCCACAGGTGATGCATGGGGTGGCAGGGAAATGCAGCTCACACACACACACACACACACACTCACACACTCACACACAGTGGTGAGTCTCTATGACTAGGAAAGAGGGGCAGGGAGGCAGCCAGGGACACACTCCCAAAGGGTCAGGGGCCCTAAGGGCTGCCTGGGACCTCCTCCCTCATTTGACAAAGGGAGAACCTGAGAGAAGGTTCTCTCGTGGTGAGTTTTGCACTAGATTTGCACTAGCGTTCACAGCCCACTCCCGGCCGAGAGGCTCCAGGGTGCAATGAAATAATAACAGCTAACATTTATTGGGTCCATACTCTGTGCCAGGCTCTGCTCTCAAGGTGCTAACTGACGGAATCCCTGGAGCAATTCTGTGAGGGCGTGCGCATTTCACAGATAAGAAGCTCAGGCACTGTGAGATTAGATAACTTGCTCCAAGCTGGGCTTGGAACCCAAGCAGTCCCTGTAGCTAATAAATTGTTCCAAGGGTCAAGAGCTGAAACATAATGGGATGGGGACAGACTTCAGATGATTCATTCTAACTCCAGGGACAGTGAGCAGGTGGTACAGGGCAGTCGGGATTTGATGGGGCCTTGAGGGATCAGAGGCCTCGAGAAGGAAGGGATGAGAGTGGGGGTTTGGAACAAGGTGCTCAGGCAGCCAAGGGATGAATTGCCTGAGAGGGAGGCTGGGCAGAGAAGAAAGAGTGGCCTTAGCAGACCCTGAGAGCTGGGCTAAGAAGTCTAGGGCCGTGTTAGCCCAGAAGGAGATTAGGGTGAGAGGGTCAGGGTCACAGCTGGGGCAGGGTGGGGTGATTTCCCTGGGCTCAGGGTGGGGTGAAGGGGAGGCTAGAAATTGTCCAGGAGGGAGAAAATGTGGCCAGAGCTGGGCAGAGTCTGTAGAGGTGGGGAGGAGGGGGAAGAACACCCTTGGTGAGCTGATGGCCGACTGGAGCATGGGGAGGCAGGGGTCCTGCAAGAGCCTGAGGTCTGCCCATCACCCAGAACCAGCCCTTCTCCCCCGTCTCCAATCACACCCTTAACAAAAGAGGACATGGTGAAGGTGTGAATATCACACCCAGGAGTTGCACTCAGATGTGTGATTTTGATCTCAGCTCCACCTCTGGGAGCTCTGGGACCCTGGTTCTCTCCCAGCGGGTCTGTTTGTCTGTCAACTAGGGGGGTGGTACCTGCCAGCTATGGCTGTGGGGGGGTTCAAGGAGAGAGACAGAGTTGGTGGCACATGGCTGGCCCTCAGAGCCCCAGGGCCCCTGTGTCCTAACACCCGCTCTGCCCACAGGGGGTCTGCTGCACAGCCCTGCTGGTGGCCGTGGTGGCCCGGAAACTGGAGTTTAATAAGGCAGAGAAGCACGTGCACAACTTCATGATGGATATTCAGTATGCCAAAGAGGTGAGGGGGGCCTCCAGCACCCAGATCACACCCTCTCTCAGACCCAGGATTCCGTGCCCCCAGCCCCCTCCTCCCTCAGACCCAGGAGTCCAAGCCCCCAGCCCCTCCTCCCAGAGCCCTAGCGGGGTCCATCTTCCCTGACACCATGCCCCCCCACACCCAGATGAGGGAGTCGGCTGCCCGGGTGCTGCAGGAGTCCTGGCTGTTGTACAAACATACGCGCAGGAAGGAGTCTGGAGCTGCCCGCAAGCACCAGCGCAGGCTGCTGGCTGCCATCAACAGGTGAGGACCTCTGTGCATGCACACGCCGTGTGCAGGCCTGTCTGAGTCCACTCTTCTCTGCAGGGTATGAGTGTGTGTGTGTGTCCGTGTCTGAGTATGAATGCATACGCAGGTCAGGATGCCCGCGTGTGGTCCCCCTAAACAGATGCCCACCTGGATGTCACAGTGCCTCTGCGTGTGTGATGGTTTCATTTGCATGTCTCAGAGTGCCTGCGGGTCTGGATTCCTGGGTCTCTATGTGGGAGGTGGGCTCATGGGTGCAGCCTCTCCCACCCCTTCAGTTCTCCGGCGACTTTTCCTCACTATACTCTATCTTTGTGAGTCTCTCCTCCCCTCCTCCCACCCCTGTGCTAGGGCTGCTCTGACCCCCACCCCCCACCGTCCTTTTTAACCCCCAGGTTCCGCCAGGTGCGGCTGAAACACAGAAAGCTCCGGGAGCAAGTGAACTCTATGGTGGACATCTCCAAGGTACTGGGATCCCGTGAGAGGGGGTCTAGGAAAAGAGGGAGGTAGGGTGTGGCTGGTAAGGAGCTCTGGGCCTGGAATCGGGGACGCTGGCACACATGGGGACTCAAGAAAGTTCTTGTGGTTGAAGGAACAAACAAATGAATAAGTGAATGGTGCAATAGAACTTCTCGTGAAAGGTGCAGCTTCCTTTGAAACTTAAAGAACTTGTGCAAAGAACTCCAGTGTTTGATGTGAACTTATTTCTATTGTCAAGTTCCCTACATGTGGATAGATATGAAATTCCTTTTAACTATGACTCTTACACAACCATAAAACCTAAGCAAATTGACAAACGAAGTTCAAACACAACGGGCAAAGCAATAAAATGTGAATTAACAGCACCGACGCACAGACGAGTGACATTGTTCTGGGAAAACTCAATCTGTGCTGCTGTTGCGAAGGGGAGGAAGGTGGCCAGGAGTGCTGGGCAGGCTTGCCTGGTCAAGGGGTGACTCCGCTTACCCTCCTTCTGCTGGGTCTCCTTGATTCTGAAGTGCTCAGGGTTGGTGACGTTGCACCCCACTGGGTTGGTTAGCAGCTCCTCTTGTTTATCCGGTAGCCTTTGCTTTTTTCTCATTAGTCCATGACAATTCAAACAGTGGTCCTGGGCCCCGATGCCATGGTAAACACAGCCGCAGGTGCCGGGCCCCTAAACTGCATGGCAGTGGCCTAGATCTGCCGGAATTGGCAGGTCTTGATTTCTAAGATTATCCACCTGGCCCAGAACACGGAAGTCAAGTTTTCATAGAAAGCTCCCACGCCCTGAAGGACAAAGCTGTGAATCCTAGTTTGAGGAGGCAGAGAAAGGGCTCTGTGGGTTTTGAAGTCAGGCGGCCATCAAGGCCACAATGATTTAAGTGAGCACCTACTACGTTCTCGGGTCACCCTGATCCGGGCCCTGCCTTGGGCATGTCAATTTATCTGCTCCAGGCCTGTTTCCTCAGCTGTTAAAAATGGAAACAGGATTCCCATTCCCACACTTTTAGGAGGATTTTAAACTGCATATGAGGATCACGTGGCCCAGTCACTGGGCGGTGGCAGGTGGTCAATAAATGGTAACTGTTATTATTGAGGATAATCTCCTGGGCCCGTAAGGACTTAGAAAATGCTGGTTCCGCTGCCTCACTCCACGGGGCAGGGAGGGAGTCTCCCCAGCCCCCTGATCCCTCTGACCTCTCTCTGCCCAGATGCACATGATCCTATGTGACCTGCAGCTCCGACTGAGCAACTCCCACCAGGCCCTGGAGAAGCAGATTGACGCTCTAGCAGGGAGGCTGGACACCCTGACCGAGCTGCTCAGCGTTGCCCTGGGGCCGCGGCAGCTTCCAGAACCAAGCCAGGAGGCCACGTAGCTGGTGAGGGGGCTGGGACTTGGGCAGGAGAAACTCCTGGAGGAAGGGTGCCTGTGGCCAGCACCCCATGTGGCTCAGGGGGAGGGGGACGGGGGGCTGGAGTTGAGGCCACCCGATCTCTTCTGCTCTGGCTCTGCCTGCAGGGAGGGACATCAGGTTTGGGGCTGGACCGCCCCCCGCCCTCTTTCTTTGCTCGGTCTCTGTCTCTCCTCTTGTCTGGCCTGCCTTTCTATCCAACTCTCTGTTCGTCTCCCCAGGACCCATCCGGGAAGAACCAGGCTACTCTTCCCCAGGATTGAGGTCAAGGACATTCTCTCTGCTACTCCTGACCCAGCCACACATATAAACCCCCCCACCCCCCCGCCCAAGTGTGAGGACTACTGGGGGCCCCACCTTGGATGGTGGATGCTGATGGATGCTGGAGGGGATGCTGGATTAAGGAGGGAGGCCGTGGCCCACCCCCCACCAAGGCCCCAAATGGGAAAACGGTCACCCCTGCCGCACATACTCTCGACAAAAACATCCTCACTCTGCTGCTGTAGATGGCCACCAGCTTTCATTTGGACGTGGAGGTGCTTGGGGGCCGGGACTCCTGGGTCCCAGAGGAGGAGGAAGAGGAGCAGGAGAAGGGGCACGGGGGCCCAGAGTCCAGGATCCTGGGCTGCCTCAGTGACCCGCTGGCCGGCAGAGCTGAAGGAACCAGGCCCGAGGCAGGGACGAGGCGGGAGGCAGCGCCCCCTGGCGGGAGAACGAGGAGGACACTGTTTCTCCAGAGCTGCAGAGAATTACCTGGTGGGAGAAGGTGCGAGGGGCCGGGGTGCAGCCCACCAGTCTCTGCTCTTATACTTTGCAATAAAGGTTAAACAAAGCCAGAAGAAGTTGCTGTTTCTTTCTAAGTACATCCACACTCCAAACAGGCAGGTCAGCCAGTGGAAGGCCCTTACCCTCTCTGAACCTGCTTGCGTGCTCAGTCGCTACAGGAGTGTTTGACTCTGCGACCCCATGGACTGTAGCCTGCCAGTTTCCTCTGTCCATGGGGATTCTCCAGGCAAGAATACTGGAGTGGATTGCCATGCTCTTGTCCTGGGGATCTTCCCGACCCAGGGATCAAACCTGAGTCTCCTGCATTACAGGCGGATTCTCTACCATCTGATCCGCCGAGGAAGCCCGCCTGAACCAGCTTCTGCAACTATATAAGAGGCCTCCGAGGAGTATCCTCCCAGGTCTGTAGGCTGGGGAGTCCTCAGCACCATCCCTACCCCTGCCCCAGCCCAGATCTAAGGCTAAGAGCAAGGGCTTTGAATTCAGGCAGATTAGGGTTCAAACCCTGGCTCTGCCATCCACTGGGGGTGTGACTTTGGGCAAGTGGCTTCACCTCTGAACATTTCACTTCACCTGAGAGATGGGGTCACCTTCCCACAGGATTGCTGTGAAGATTAAAACAGGGAGGGGCACAGAGGGTTGGGCATTTAGTAAGAATTCATGAGAGACAACTTAATCATTTTTATCAGTGCTATTGATTTTCAGACACAATCAATACATGGCTGCCCTTTTTCTTTTTTCTACTTCCCTCTGCTCCTCTCTACTCATAGCCCACCAGAACCCAGATGACACCTCATCCATCAGGAGAGTAACAGGAACCCCAAACCATCCCCTGTACTCATTTCTCGTATCTGCTAGGACTTGGCCAGGAAATGGGAAGGGGGCTGGGCTTATGGAGGTCCTCCTGTATGCCCGGCTCTGCGCTCCTGCGTTGTAAGTCACCACCACCTCTGCCCGCCCCACCCCACCCCACTGTACAAATACAGAGACTGAAGTTTGGAGACGAGGAAGGCCTCAAGGGTCTGGCTTCACACCCAGCGCATCCTGAGACCGAGCCTTCCCTCTCAGTCTGGCTTGAGGTGAGTCAGAGACAGAACAGCCTTGGACCCTGAACCTGGGTCTCACTTCCCACAGCCGCTGTATTCCACTTTGAGAGGCTGATTCATCCCCGCTTCCCTTGACTTGTGGGGAAGCCCGGGCTGCGAGTCATCCTTCTCTGCTGAGCTATCTTTGGATTTCCCTGCAAGCCCGCAGCCAGCCCCACCCCTCAGCCCCCAGAGCTAAACTCGGGCCTGCACCACCCACTGCCCCTTCCTCTGGACGCCAGCCCACCTGGGGGGCAGAGGAAACAGGAACACTTCCAACACCCTCCCCTTCAGTAAGCTCTCTTCAGTGCTGCCAGATCCCCTACTGGGACCATCCTTTCCTAGTTTTACTTGACTTCACTGGGCAAACTCCTTCCAACTCCTTTAGGCCCCAGCTTAAATGTCGCCTCCTCCAGGAAGCCCTCTCTGAAGCTCCCACAGCCCCCACTGTGAACCTGTCTTTATCACAGTAATATTTATCATGGAAAGTCCCACATTAAGTCCTTCATATAAATGATCTCACAAAATCTCTACAGAAGGAAGCAAGGTGGTATTACTGGTCCCATTATACAGATGAGGAATCTGAGGCACAGGGATTACGAACCCTGCCCGAACCCGCAGCAAGGAGATGGCGAAGCTGGGATTTGACCCAGATGGCCTGGTTCTGAAGGCCCAGCACTTAGCCAGTCAGCTCATTCATTTAGGGATCATTATACCCTACTTTCATTTTTGCTGTCTATATTGTGTCTTCAGTGTCGTGGGCCTGCATATGCTAGGCTTCAGTGAGTTATCTCTGAGCGAACACACTGACTGCCTGGGGTGGCCAGAAGCGCTGCCCCTTCTACCACTTGTTTCTCCTGGGAAAAGGTAGGAACTGGTGAGAAGGGGCTTTTTGCCTAAGGCATTAAGAGCACGGGAGAACACTGCTGTTCTGAATTCTCGGATCTGCCGCCGCCACCCTGCCACCACTAACTGTGGGGCACGGGTCCCGACGCCCCCCCTTCTAGCAGTCTTTGCTCACCCCCTCACACCATCACCACTTCCTCAACGCCCTGCACCGGGGTGGGGGCTGCAGGCATGAGTCAGAGGGCTCTGCTCCCCAGGGACTTGGCTCCACGGTGATTTTGGCAACTTCCCCCTCCTACTTCAGTTTTGCCTCCATGCCTGTAAGAGGACAGGGTGGGGGAAAGTGGGTCCAGAAAGGGCTGGGGGATTACTGGGGTTCGAGAGACAGTCAGGGGGATGGAGCCACCACCCAAGACACGACTGGGCCCTTCCCTTTTTCAAAACCCTGCCATGGTTCCCACCTGTATTTCTGTCAAAGTCCAGCTCCTAGGCCTAGCCCTGCAGCATATGGGATCCTAGTCCCCCCACCAGGGATGGAACCAGTGCTCCCAGCAATGGAAGCGCAGATTCTCAACCACTGGACCGCCAGGGAAGTCCCCACTCATTTTTTCTTTGAGATTTATTTTACATAAATGACAGAAAGTTTAAATGCAGCCTCAATAGATTTTTTTACAAATGCATTCACCTGAGCGAAAATCACTCAGCTCAAGCTTGAAGTTTCCATGACCCTAAAAACTCTCTCTTCCTTCCCATCTTGATTTTCTTTTGCCCAAATGTGAACTTCAAAAAGAAACCTGGACACCCTGATGTGTACCTGCTTCCAGCTATCAGCCAGGGGCGCATCCTTTTTCCCTACAAAATGGTGTTAATACACCCACAGGCCTCACCTGGGGGCTCTTCAGGCTGTGGCCCCATCCCTCCTCCAGGCTCCCTATCCCCTCCCTGTCACAGAAGATAATGATTCTGCACCCAATTCCAGTGTTGTGGTTTGGGTTTTTTTTTCTCCCAAGCAATTCTCAAGACACCACAACTCAACTCAGTCCTGACATTGTCTACCCGGAGCCAGCATCAGATTCCACAGGTTAAGAGTTGGGTCCTACAAAACTGCCCCCCACCCCTACCCCTTCAGATGCCAATTTCAAGTCCAGATTGTCACCTATGTGTCTGACCAACTGGTTACAGATCCAACAGCCCCTTTCTTGGGTTCAAAGAGTGACTCACAGAACTCAGAGACACATTTTATTTACTAGATTATAGGTTTATTATAAAAAGATGTAACTGGGGAACAGCCAGATGGAAGAGAGGCACAGGGCAAGGGATGGGGAAGGGGCAGGGAGTTTCCATGCCCTCTCTGGACACTGCTTTCCCCAAATCTCCAAGTGTTCACCAACCTGGAAGCTCTCCAAGCCCTGTCCTTTGAGGGTTATTACAGAGGCTTCATTACATAGCCACGACTGATTAAATCATTGAACTTTGGTGACTAATCCAACTCCAACCCTTCTCCCCTTCCTGTAGATCTGGAAGTTCTAAGCCTCTAATCACCCCACTGGGGCCCTGGCACTCAGCCCCTATCCTTACCGAGGTGCTTTCCAAAGCCACCTCATTACAAAAGACACCCTTATTACTCTCTTCACTGGAAGGTCCAAAAGTTTTAGGAGCTCTGTGCCAGACTCCAGGATAAAGACCAGATCCATATTTATTATAAACCCAGTATCACAGCTGCTCCAGCCACAGGGCTCCTCCTCCTTCCCAAGGACTGTCGAAACTGGTCATCTCTCCTGGACTCTCCTGTCCCCTTTTCCCCATCCACGTAGAACAAATATCACCAGTATTTTTCCAGTTCTTTATGAGGGCCCATGAAGGAAGCCATATCATCTACATCAATACCAGACTGCAGACTAAAGACTTGTTTATAGCTTTTCTGCTGTGTGAGACAGCTGCTAACATGTAAAAACCAGGAGAGTGTTTTTACAACTTGGAAGCAATGTCTTTCTTCTACCAGAATGAACTGGCCCTTCTTCAAGTCCAGCCAAGGGTGTACCCTGGCTGCACCCTTTCTCACTTCCTCAAGGGCCAGAGTCCTGTTTCTTCCCTCATCCATTCTCCCTGCTATTGAAATAGAAGGGAAGGGGCAGGGGGCAACCTTTAAAAGAATGACACTGCCATAGGACATGACAAACTAGAACCAACCACATCCAAGATGGCTGAAGATTTGACTTCCAGTAGACGGGAGTCTCATTATGCACTCGTTATAATACATTAGCTAAATGACACACCCACCAGCCCCATGACAGTTTCAGGGCCAATGATAAAAGGTCAAAAAGTGGGCTGTGGTGCAATTCCTGGCAATCCCTGCTCCTTCCTAGAAACAGTTGGACTAATCCTCCCACTCACTTAGCCTACGAAATTACCCAGTCCATAAAAAACTCACAACCCCAAATTTCCAGGGCCTGCTGCCTTCTGAGACGGCCCACAGTCTGTCTGTGGGGTGTGTTTCTCTCTAGATAAATCCATTTCTTACCTGTCACTTTGTCTCTCACTGAATTCTTCCTGCAAGGGGACATCAAGAACCCGAGCTTCACTAAGTGCTGAGGCCAGGTGTGTGATCTCAATTAAAAGACCGTGTGTTCGAGTTCCAGTCTGGGTTTGGCCAGGTGTGAGTCCTGGCCCGTGGGTTCAAGTTCCAATTTGAGTGGCATGGTTTCACTGCCCCTCCCAGCAGCACACAAACATGCTGTCTTTCCGCCCATCTTAAAACTGGCCCCCCAGCACTTTAAGCACTTTACATCATCCACTATCCTTAAAGCCCACCATGTATTCACCACACTGCAAAACAACTGGAATTCAACTTGAGTCTTTATTTTCCATATTGTAAAACAACCTGTATGTAGAAATCCTTTCAAAGTTCTAGTTCTTACAGAACAAGCTCCTGATACATTCAACAGCAGGGAAAACTCTCACAGACCAAAGAGCTAAAGGCAGAAAACACAGAAGACCAGCTGTCAGAGTTCTATCAAGTTTCATTTCTGTCAAGTTCAAGAGCAGCCACAACTCATCTGTAATGACTGGAATCAGATCAGAGGCTGTTTCTGGAGTGGGGGAGCTGACAGGAAAACAGTCCAATAGAAATCTCTGGGGTTTCGGAAATGTTCTCTATCTTGACCTGGTTAGTGGTTACATGGGCATATATATATTTGTAAAAATTCACTGACCCTTTTCTGCACTTGGCCACATTTAAGTTACACTGAGACAATATAAACTTTTTCTTATATATTCTTTATTACAGTATTGAGAAGTTTCCACAACAGAGACTAAGACAGAAGGGAAGGGAACAGGACCCAAGCTTTGAAAGAATGACGCAGATCTTGATGATACGACTGAAACTAGGCCCACCAGGCCCAAGGTGACAGAAGATACAACTTCCCTAGACTCTAAGCCTCTTTTTTTTTTCTTTTTTCCCCATCCTGATTCTAAGCCTCATTATACACTCATTGTAATATAACAGCATATGCTAAGTGATACACCACACATGCCATGACAGTTCTGAAGCTGACCATAGAAGGCCAAAAAGTGGGTGGTGGCCCAATTCCTGGAAATTCTCGCTGCTACCCCATTATAGTTGGAATAATACTCCCAGTTGTTAGCTTATGAAATTATCCAGCCCATAAAAACTAACCACCCCCACACCCACTGGCCACTCTTGCTTTCTGAGATGGTCGCCTTTCTGCCTACGGAATGTGTCTCCCTCTAAATAAACTTACTTTCAGTTTATACTATGGCTCACTCTTGAATTCTTTTCTGTGTGAAGCCAAGGACCCTCACTTGGTCTCCCCTCACAGGGACTCATCTGAGGCCTGTGACATGGCCATTCTCTTCCAGACAATTTTCTCCTGCAACAAGACTGGGGGATAAGACAGCCATGTTTTCTTCCCCGTGAACCCACGTCTACCTCCAGCTACTGCTCTGTCATCTCTGCTCCCCAGTGGATCACCAGCTTTTAGGAACTCCTCTTTCCCTTGGCCCTAGGTTATCACCTCTCCTGATGTTCCTGCTCCTTCTCTGGGACAGTGGTCCTTTCTCTGATTCCTAGTGTGGGAGGCCCAGGGCCCAGTCTCTGCTCAATCTACTCCCTCAGTCTGGATGGTTTCAACAAATCCCCAGGCTTTAAATGCCATCTATGTATTAACAGCTCCAAAATTTAGCATACTTGTATAGTTATTGATAAAATGACAGGACATCTGAGAGTCTGCTTAAAAGCTTAAAAAATAAAACAGAAACTCCAGGAGAAAGTGTACTTATAAAATTAGAAAGAAGAAAACAGAAGAAATAAGTAAAATGGGATGACTGGCCATACTGGGTGGTGGGTTTAGAGGAGTTCTTCATACCAGAAAAACTTTTGTGTGTGTTTTTAAAACTCCACAATGAAAAGTCAGTAAAAAAATTCTGTATCTACAAATGCTGGCTTCTCTCTACTGTGACCACTTACTTGGACCAACATGCACCTCAAAGGTAAGCAGCTCAAAGCTTTTCAATTTCCCATCAAGTCTGCTCGTTCCCATCTTCAAAAAGCATCACTGACCCAGTGGGTCAGGCCCAAACCTTCAGGATGACTTTTAACTCATCCCTGATTCATGCTTCCTCTCACACAACCCTCCTCCTGAGTCATCATCCTCTCTCGCCCAGGGAAGGGACAGTGGCTTCCTCATCTCCTGCAGCTGCAGCCCACTCTCCTCACAGCAACCAGCACTGCTTTAACTTTTTTGCATGTACGTAACAGTCTCATAGTTCAGAAATGTAAAAGTCTTAAGAAAACATACATCACAACATGCTGGTCCTTGCTTATAGCCCTCCAAAGTCTTCCTGTTTCACTTAGAAGTAAATTCAAGAGCCTTTACCTATGGCCTACAAGGTCTCATGTAACTTGGCCCTCTCTACAGCTGTATCCCTAAATAATCCTATCCCTATTTCACTATGCTTCAGCCACTCTGGTCAACTTGATAATCCTTGAACAACCAGGTCCGTTCTCACTTTGGAATCTTTAATCTGTTTTTCAGCATCTTCCTATGGTTCATCCCCTTACCATCTTTCAGGCCTCTGCTCAAATGTCACCTTCTCAGAGGAGCCTTCCTTGACCACCTGTCACTCTCTGTGACCTCTGTCACTCTCAATTCCCTTATCCTGATTTTTCCTTCCAAGTGTCTTTTACCTGACATCATCCACCCCACCAAAAGATCTGTTCCAGGAGGGCAGGTGCTCTGTCCTATCCCTAAAGCAGTGGTCCCCAACCTTTTTGGCACCAGAGACCAGTTTCGTGGAAGACAGTTTTTCCACAGACAAGGTGGGGTGGTTTGGGAATGATTCAAGCATGTTACATTCATTGCGCACTTGATTTCTATTATTATTACATGAACTCCAGCTCAGATCATCAGGCATTAGATCCCAGAGGTTGGGGACCCCTGCACTACAGGATTTCCACTCTACACCATGTCTGGCAGATGACTAGAGTTCTATAATTCATTCAATAGATATAAACAAATGAATGAAACCAACAGAGAAGTGCCTTGAGAAATGAACAGATCATTTGGCAAAGGGCTCTTAAAATTCCCAGTGCATGTACTCTTTGACCCAGCAATTCTACTTCAGATGAGGTACTCTATTGATAATACTATCACCTACATGCAATCTGATGTACAACAATATTCATTGTGATGAATGTTGGTAATAGCAAAAGTTCAGAAAGAACCTGAATGCTTATCAATGGGCAAATGGTTAAATCCTGCACATGCACACAACTGCATACCACCCTACTAATACCAAAGGCAGCTCTCTGAGTGCTCAATTGTGACTCATAATTAGGCAGGCTGCCCATTGCCTGCAAAAAAATGTGGGCTCACCCTAGAATGAGACAGGCTGCAGTTTGAATCCAGGGATGCCTCCTGGCTACAGGAGCTTCAGTAAGGCCCTTCTTTTCAGACTCATATTCTGCATCTGTTAAACGAGGAAGGGAGGTGGTTACAGCGATGAATATAAACCAGAATGTAGTATACAGTGGGCCCACGGTACAATGCCAAGCCTCTCCTTTTCCTTTAACTCAAATTTCCACCTCGAAGGGTTTCCCAGAGGTGAAACTGGCATGGAGGCTCCTCTGGGGTTGAGAAATTCAGGTAATAAAAACAGATGCAACCTAACAGATGAAGATGCTAAAAAGGGATACTGACAGACATAACACAAAGGTGTCCTGTCAAGTGTGTCTCTGCCAAACACCCACAGTCTTCTGGAGAATCCATAAACAACAGGACTCTCAACTCAGTCTGCGTGATGGTTGTTTTCACCCAGACTGTAACAGCCTGGAGAAATAATTCCACTGCCTCCTGTGCTGAGAATATGGCAGCAGGGATGAGGCCTGGAGGGGAGGGGAGCAGGTCCGACTCAGTCACTATCACTGTCACTGTAAACCACAAAATAATAACACAGGGCCACTCTACGCGAGTGCTCAGCCCCTCAGCTGTGTCTCACTCTTTGGAACACCATGCAGCGTAGCCTGTCAGTCTCTTTCGTCCACAGGATTTTCCCCAGGTAAGCTCACTAGAGTGTGTTGCCATTTCCTACTCCATTGGGATCTTCCCAACCCAAGGATCAAACCTGTGTCTCCTGCATTGGTAGGTGGATTCTTATTCACTGTGCCACCAGGAAAAGTCCGTCTCCATTGCACCTTTTAGTTATTTGGCTGTACCGGGTCTTAGTCGTGGCACTCTGGATCTTTGCTCTTTATCGGGCCATTTGGAAATTTCAGTTGGGGCACATGAACTCTTGGTTGAGGCATGTGGGTTCTACTTCCCTGACCAGGGATGGAATCCAAGCCCCTTGCATTAGGAGTGCAGAGACTTAGCCACTGGACCACCAGATAAGTGGTGATCCATCACTCCCTTTTTCCTTCTTTGGCCTTGCAAAGCGGCATGCAGGACCTTTGTTTCCCAAGCAGGGATCCACCCGGTGCCCCCTGTACTGGAAGCATGGAGTCTTAACCACTGGACCGCCAGGGAAGTCCTCCACTGTAGAAATGGATGAAAAGGCAGAAAGAACTTTCCAGGCTCAAGTTCTCAGCTCCAATGCTTTGGTGTAACAGTAGCTTCAGAAGGACACTGGGAAGCGGAGCTCTAGGAATGGAATATGGGAACCAGCGTGGATAAAGACTTTTCTCGTGTACCCCATGGGCTGCTTGAATTTTGTAAAAACGTACATGTATTCCCTGTCCAAATAGAATTTTTGCATGAAAAGGGGTAAATCCCCCACTCATCTACTTAGCTATGAATACACATACACTTCTTTCTTCTCTTGAAGCATCTATCGTTCTCAAGGATAACCATCCGCTCCAGCTAAGTCGCGGAGCCCTTTGGACCGACTGCGCACGCGCCCTCTGCAGACCGCGCTCTGCCTGGCATTCCTTTTTGGCGCGCACTGGGCTCCGCAGGCAGGCGTTTGAATTTTCGACCTTTAGCACTATTCCTCCTCCACCGTGGCTCGCGAAGGGTTTAATACGGTGGTCTTTTTCTCACCAGTCTGCGTTTCGAATCCCTCAAGATCTGACCTGCCCATGTCTGCTGCCTCATCCCCAGTGGAACTCCAGGAGTCCAAGCCAGTCTGGCTGGACCTTTCTTCCCAGGTTCCCTCGCCTGGAATATCCTTGCCCGCCCTTCAAGAACCGCGCCCTTTCCTAAGTGATTTGATTTCCCAACTGTCTCTTTCCACAGGCCGGGATCCCTTCCAGCGTATGCGCCAGGTCTGATTCATTCCTATGTTCTCAACACTCAGTCAGTCCAGGACACTTAGATTTTCCCTCGCTGTCTCAGCTCACAGCGTCTCGCCGACTCTGCTGAGGAAGGACTCGAACCTAAAGTCTCTGGCACCACCCCCACTCAGCCCCAACGTCTCCGCAAGCCTACGCATGCTCCCTGCGACGCGCACGCGCACTAAAGCAGAATCCGCGAGCCTGTTGAGGCCAACCACCTCCATCGACGCATGCTCAGTCTGGCGCTCACGCTCGATTCTCGCGCGCCCAGCCCGCGGCGCATGCGTAGGGTCGGCAGCCCGCGAGACCTGGTTTCAGTTTGGCCTCGCGATATTTCATCCAGCTGTTCCTCCCTCCGGCTGGCCTTCCTTCGGTGCTGCTTCCGGGATGCCCTGACCTGTCCTAGGTTGACCGGTACCGGTTCTCTTAATTCTCTCCTGCGACGCTCCTGGGCCCCCAGGCTACATTTACAGGCCGGTGGCTTCTGGTGGACCCTGCTCACCCTTACCCTACCCCATCTCGGAGAGTCCGCTGCGCCCCAGGAACCAATCAGCAGCCGCCTTAGGTAAGAGGCCCACATGTCCGCTCGGGCGAGCGCCCCTACGGGGGCGGGGCGTGGGGCGTGTTTCGGGGCCCGCCCCTTCCTCGACCGCTAACTGGTTGCTCCGACGCCGGACGGCTGTGTGGAACTGAGTACTCAGTAAAGCGACCCATCAAATGCTGGGTTGGCGGGAGTTCGGTGGAGAGGAGACAGATGATATGTATATAGCAATTTCAGTTCTGGGGGGGCCATTAATAGTGAAGGCCTGTAAACTAGTGGCAGAGTACTGCGAAATCCCTTTAATAACGTGCAAAGAGATACTTAAGTCCTGGGGACACTCATAGAGGGCCTACAAACGAATCCTCGACTTTTGTCTTCCAAATGACAACAGATACTGTGTAAAAAGAAATTTAAGTTCTGGGGTTCTCCCGTGGGAGGCTTCTAAACAGATTCATAATTATGAGGACGTCCCCTGAGTAAAACATTCTATACTCAAGTTCCAGGGGAGACCCCATATAAAAGACTGTACATATATATGTAATTGTTAGAGAGTCTTTTAGAAAAAGTGTGAATAGACTCAAGTACTGGGATGGGGGTGGTGCTTTATACTATAAATGCGGGGTTAGGAATTGAGAGACTCCCCAGACAACTTGCAGGTAGACACTTTGATTCTGGGAGATCCCCCAAAAGGGGCGTGTTAAGAGATGCCTAAGTACTGAGGAAGCTCCCCCAAAGAGCCTTAGTTTAATTAGGCTCTTAATTTCTGGGAGGTCGCCTTAAGAGTCCTGTAAATAAGCACAACTGGGCTGGCTTTATACTTTTCTGGGGGGGGGGAGGTAGAGTCCCCAGCGGAGAAGACAGTGGCACTGCACTCCTGTACTCTTGCCTGGAAAATTCCATGGACAGAGGAGCCTGGTAGGCTGCAGTCCATGGGTTCTCTAAGAGTCCAACACGACTGAGCGACTTCACTTTCACTTTTCACTTTCTTGCATTGGAGAAAGAAATGGCAACCCACTCCAGTGTTCTTGCCTGAAGAATCCCAGGGGTGGGGGAGCCTGGTGGGCCGCCGTCTATGGGGTTGCACAGAGTCAGACACGACTGAAGCGACTTAGCAGAGTCCCCAGAGAAGCCTAGAGACAATGTTGCGAGTCCCCAAAATGCTTGTAGGTGAACTCTTAAATTCTGGGAAACTCCCCATCAGGGCTGTAGAATCCACTCAGATACTGTGTAAGTTCCCAGAAGAACATGTATGGGAAGAGGGTCCTTATGGGTTTGTAAACAGACACCTTGCTGCTCAGGCAGAATCCCCGCTGAGACAAGAAAACAGACACTTAAGTGCTGGGAAGGTCTCCAGGATAAAGTGTAAACAGGCCCTTAATAGCACAAGAGGGAGGAGTCCCAATTTCTGAGGGGACTCTCCATGACTGTAAACAGTCATTTAAGTGCTGAATCAGTTTCCATAAGCATCTTTAAACTGGCCTTGCCCTCCTTTGTCTCAGAATGCAGTCTTCCACCTAGTTTGTGGCTGGGGAAGAGGTCATGTAAAGCAGTGGGAGAGGAACTAGACAAAATTACTAGCTAGCAAAATTACTCCTGCATCCAGTAAACAGTTATTTCCGTTCTAGTGAAAGTGTCTCACACAGGGACCTCTTAATGTCACTGTGTAATGGGGTAGGAGGTGGAGCGATTCATAGAATGATTTGAAGGCACCTAAGAGCCAAGCAAAGGTCAGCATACTTTTTCTGTAAAGGTCCAGAGGGTAGTTATTTTAGACTCAGCAGTCTGTCTCGACTGCTCTGCCATTGTATCAAGAAGCCAGCCGTAGACAGTTGATAAATTGATAGATGTGGCTGTATTTCAGTAAAACTGTTCCCCAAAGCATAAGGCAGACCACCTGTGGCCCTGTGAGCCATAGCAGTTTGCCTCATAGTCCTGCCAAGAGACATACTCAGAGATTTCCCTGGAATGAGGTGTAAACAGCTGGATAAACTCCCTAGTGACGGATGAAAGAAAGAAAGTGAAGTCACTCAGTCGTGTCTGACTCTTTGTGACCCCATGGACTGTAGCCTATCAGGCTCCTCCGTCCGTGGGATTTTCCAGGCAAGAGTACTGGAGTGGGTTGCCATCTCCTTCTCGAGGGGACCTTCCCGACCCAGGGATCGAACGCAGGTCTCCTGCATTGCAGGCAGACGCTTTACCATCTGAGCCCCCAGGGGTAGAGAGTGGGTCATGGAGGTAACCGTATATTTTATAATGTCTTAGATTAAACCCTGGGGAGAGCTTGGAGTTTGAAGGATGGCAGACCATCAGAAGTGGAAGGTAAACACACTGAAAGCAGAGGGACGCCAGATGAAAATGGGTCCTTGAATATTGGAGCCCCCACACCCCCCAAACATTGGCTTATCAGAAGAGTAGTTGTCAAACTGGGAGTCACGTTACAAATATGTTTGGATAGGATTTGCTACACTTTCGGAAAGAGTATGTCCCATTTTGGGGGCTTCCCTGGTGCCACAGTGGTAAAGAATCTGCCTGCAATGCAGGAGATGAGGGTTCAATCTCTGGGTCAGGAAGATCCCCTGGAGAATTAAATGGCAATCCACTCCATTATTCCTGCCTGGGAAATCCAAAGGATGGAGGAGCCTGGTGGGCTACAGTCCATGGAGTCACAGAAGAGTCCAACACGACCGAGCAACTAAGCAACAGCAATATCCCATTTTTATGTGACCCTGCTGCTATGTGTTATTATTTATGCTGAGCAAAGTGATTCGTAGTTGGGAATAGTTTTGGCTACAAGAGAAAGAAGGGGATATTATTTGTCTCTGCATCCAGAGATAGCCAATTTAAGGTTAATATTCAATTTAAGGTTAATAGGGAATCTCCAAACCTCGTGTTTTGTTCTGTCCTGCCTTCTTTCCATTCAGTTGCCTCACAGGACAGAATATCTGCTTGAGCTCCAGCCTGCACACCCACACTCCGTTCAGCTAGGAGGAGAAGGGGATAAAAGGCGTGTGCCAGCGTCTGTGAAGAAAAGTTTCCCAGTGCTGCCAAAACACACTTCTAGTGTCACACCGTTGCCCAGAAAGAACGTAGCCACATGGCCACACCTAACTGTAGACCAGCCTGAGGAGTGTATCCTGGATAACCACGTACCCACCTCAGAACTGTGGGTTTTATTTCCTTGAAAGAAGTGAAGAATGGATATTGGAGCCCACTGACGGTCCCTGCTGCAGCCACAGAGCTCTCTTGAAAGGATGTGCTTTCTTATAGTCCAGGGTAAGCCAGATAGAGTGAGGAGAGACTCTCTTCACCCTGGAGTCAACCTCATTCTCCCCACAGGTGACCATGTCTGAATCTGGGCACAGTCAACCGGGGCTCTATGGGATAGAGAGGCGGCGGCGCTGGAAGGAGCCAGGCCCTGGCGGCCCCCAGAATCTCTCCGGACCCGGAGGTCGGGAGAGGGACTACATTGCACCCTGGGAAAGAGAGAGACGGGTGAGTGTCTGGGTCCAAGGGCGGCATTCATGCGTCCATTCATTCCACAAAGGTTTATTGAGCGCCTGCTGTGTGCCAGGGAGGTATCTGTGGACAAGATGAACGGTTCTCAGAGAATGATAAAGGGACTGTCTTAGATGAAGTGGTCAGAGGAAGCTTCTTTGAAGAGCTGGCTTGTGAGCAGAGACCTGAGGTGAGAGGACAAGCCCTGACAGAGTCTGAGTGAAGAGCCTTGAAAACAGGAAAACAACCAGTGTGAACGCCCTGAGGCCTTTATCTGGTGCGTTCAGAGAGGAGCCTGGGGGCACCAGTGGCTGCTTGGATGAAAAAGGGAAAGCCGTAGAAGATGAGGTCAGAGGTCACTGGGGCCAGGCCATGTGGGACGTGCTTGGCCTTGGGAGGCACTTTGGATCTCACTGAGGGAGATTGGCGTTGGAGTGGAGCTGGGAGGTGCCAGAGCTCCTGTCTTCCAGAGCTGTGTAATCACAGCGGCTGGCTGTTTGCTGAGCAGTGTGCTGGCGCTGTGCAAAGTGCTTTCCGCCCGTGGTTCTTCCTGAACTCCTGCAGCTGCCCTGTGAAGTGGAGCCTACATTCCACCTGATTGTCACTAAGGAGGAAATGAGTCTCAGAGGGGAAGGGATACCCCCAAAGTCACAGGTCAATAACCTTTGGGGCCAGGACTCGAACCCACATCCAAGGGAGCCTAGGGCATAGCACCCTCGTGCCCACTCTAGAGACTGTCCTGTCCTGGGAATCAGGACTTGGGAACTTCGGCCTGGGCCCTGTCCCACCCTGCTCCTCTCAGGAAAGAACCCACACCCCCGGGTTCTTTCTCCAGCGCCCTGTCCACCTCTGAGGGCTGTTTGTGGGGACGTGGAAGAAGGTAACAGTTGGGACAGTTTTTGAGCCATAAAATGGTAGACACGAAGGAAATTTCTTCACAGTGAGCTTGGCTCTTGCTCCTTCTCTTGGGTCTCAGCGTAAGGGGGAACAACAGTCTCCCTTCCACACGCATCCTTCTGGGGAGCGTTACCATCTTCCTGCACTGTCAGCTTCAGTCCCTGAACAGGCAACTCCCAGATCTCTGGTCTGTGACTCTGACTTCGCTGCTTAGCCCCAGCAGCCTGCTAACTGGCCAGTGGACTCCTCACAGCCGCCACATCTCCCGCTGACCCTAGTGTCTTCCTGCCATTTCTCTTCCTCTCAGGATCACTGACAGCCCATCAGGCCTCATCCTGGACAGTCCCCACCCCTACCCTCCCTGCACCAGTTGCTGTACAAGGTGCCTCCTGACTATATCTCCAATCCATCATCATCTCTCCACCCTCGCCTCTTTTTTATTTTAATATTCATTTATTTGTTTGTTTATTTAATTACTTGGCTGCATCAGGTCTTAGTTGCAACATATGGGATCTTTCCTTGTGGCGTGCAGTCTTGAAAGCCCAAGGGCTCCATGGTTGCAGCATTTGGGTTTAGTTGCCGACCAGGGATCAAACCTGCGTTCCCTGCATGGGAAGGCAGATTCTTAACCACTGGTCCCCCAGGGACGTCCCCCTCACCTGTTCTTTCCAAAGCACTTTGATATCCTTTGGTTTGTCCGTTGTAGGCCAGTGAGTGAGCAGGCTTTAAATGTGTCCTCAGTATGTGGGTGAAGAAACAGACCCAGTGAGTGGTCTAGACCCTCCCAAGGTTACTCAGGGCTGCCAAGAAGGAACAGGACTCTAACCCAGGTCTCTCCCCTTTCTTAGACGGATTGGGGGTGAGTCAGAGGCCGGAAGAGGGCAAGGCGTGGGAGTCAGCTCACAGGTCTAGGGAGGAGAAGGGGACTGCACAGCTGTCAGCTAGCAGCTCTAGGTAGCTTGCTCCTGCTGCGTGCATGATGCCACATGGATGGTTGGGGAGTCTTGTCTACTCTCAGCCTCTTAACAGTCCTGTGAGGAAGGAATTCCTGTCCCCGTTCACCAGATGAGCACACAGGCCTAAGTGAGGGTGGTTCCTGGTCCAAGTCCATACAACCAACAAAAGCCAGGGCCAAGTTGAACGCAGTTCCTTCTCTTGAGCGCCAGCTCCTCCCACCCAGGCTTGTCCAGCGGAGCAGCTGGCAGCGTGGTTCTGGAGCCAGATCCAGACTGGGACTTGGCTCCGACACTTAATGGCTGTGTGGCCTTGGGCGAGCCGGTTAACCTCTCTGGATCTCAGTTACTTTATTTGATACTTGGGGCTCAAGGTACCTCTCTGACAGCACTATCTAGGATAGGAGGGGTTCATGTCTGAAGGCATTTTAGAGTGGCACTTGGCACTTCACGGAGTGTCCAGGGTGTCATTCCTGAGTAACTGCCCTCCCTCACCACAGGATGGCAGCGAAGAGACCAGCACAGCGGTCATGCAGAAAACCCCCATCATCCTGTCAAAACCTCCAGCAGAGCGGGTGAGCAGGGCAGACTCTTTCTTTGGAAGGGGAGGCTGGGAGTAGCCAGGGCAAGGATCTCTCCCACTGACCAGCACCTTCTCGCTCCCGCAGTCAAAGCAGCCCCTGCCTCCAGCAGCCCCTGCTGCCCCGCCTGCCCCGGCCCCTCTGGAGAAGCCCATTGTGCTCATGAAGCCCCGGGAGGAGGGGAAAGGGCCAGCGGCCACAATGAGTGCCTCAACCCCCGAGGGCACTGCCCCACCACCCCCGGCGGCCCCCGTGCCACCCAAGGGGGAGAAGGAGGGGCAGAGGCCCACACAGCCCGTGTACCAGATCCAGAACCGGGGCATGGGCACTGCTGCCCCGACAGCCATGGACCGTGAGTTGGGGGCCAGGTGGGATCTGGTTGGGAGCCGACACCCCCTCGCACAGAACCTCAGCACGTCCTCTGTCTCCTGCTTTCTCTCTCCTGCAGCTGTCGTGGGCCAGGCCAAACTGTTGCCCCCAGAGCGCATGAAGCACAGCATCAAGTTGGTGGATGACCAGATGAATTGGTGCGACAGTGCCATTGAGGTATTGGGGGGCTGGGCAACTCTCCCTGCTCGAGCTTCTCTGGGTTGCACCCTCCCCTCCCCGGTGCCCTCCACTTTCACCCTCTTGGCAGGCAACACCAGCCTCGACAGCTTTTGGGCAGTGGCAGCAGTGAGAGGGGTTCCCCGGTGGCTTAGCTGGTAAAGAACTTGCCAACCAGTGCAGGAGACAGAAGACTCAGGTTCCATCCCTGGGTTGGGAAGATCCCCTGGAGAAGGAAATGGCAACCCATTCCAGTATTCTTGCCTGGAAAATTCCAGGGAAAGAGGAGTCTGGCAGGCTACACTCCATGGGGTCATTCAGTTCAGTTCAGTCGCTCAGTCATGTCCGACTCTTTGCAACACCACGAATCGCAGCATGCCAGGCCTCACTGTCCGTCACCAGCTCCTGGAGTCCACCCAAACCCATGTCCATCGAGTCGATGATGCCGTCCAACCATCTCATCCTCTGTCGTCCCCTTCTCCTCCTGCCCTCAATCTTTTCCAGCATCAGGGTCTTTTCCAATGAGTTAGCTCTTCACATCAGGTGGCCAAAGTACTGGAGTTTCAGCTTCAACATCAGTCCTTCCAATGAACATCCAGGACTGATCTCCTTTAGGATGGACTGGTTGGATCTCCTTGCAGTCCAAGGGACTCTCAAGAGTCTTCTCCAACACCACAGTTCAAAAACATCAATTCTTCGGTGCTCAGCTTTCTTCACAGTCCAACTCTCACATCCATACATGACAACTGGAAAAATGATAGCCTTGACTAGACGGACCTTTGTTGGGGTCATAAAGAGTCAGAAACGACTGAACATGTTCACGCAGCAGTGAGAGGGAAGGGATGAGAGAGTTTTCACCTAGCTGGGTGGAATCTCAATGGCTCAGCTGTGCTGGTTGTTCAGTTACTGAAATACTTTGATATTGGTTGGCCAAGAGGGCTCCGCTAGCACCACAGAGTCCCTGGTCCCTCCTCCCCAATCCCACAGCAGGGCAGCCTCCAGGGCCTGTGCCAGTCCTTCTCCTGATTGGTCAAACCCCGTGCTGGACCAGTGCAAACTGGGTTGAGCATCAACCCTCCGAGGTTCCCCACTCCATCCCAGGAGCCCCCACCCTAGTTCACACCTCACACTCCTGGTCGTCATACCTACTTCAGTGTCCCAGTCTTTATTTCCCTTCTTCTGATGTGTTTCACCCGTGACCTGACACATCACTTCTCTGCTCAGATTCTCCCAGGTGAGCCCCCTCTCCTTCCCAGCTTGGCCTGAGTAGGACAACGTGCCAGGCCATCTGTTTCCTGGCCCCTGCTGCCTTTTTGGGTCCACTCTCATGTTGATATCAACTGCGGCATGGGGAAAAAAAAAAGATTACTGTCCAGGCCCTGCTATTGAGCGCTTACCCACAAATCCCCAAATATGGCTCATATAACTGAAGAACTAAATTTGTTGTTTTGTTTCATTTTAATTAAACTTAAGTGGTCACATGTGGTCAGCATCTACCATATTGAATAGCGCCAGCCTTTGATATTCTTCTTTGATGGGTCCAGGGTTCGGCCCAAGGTTAGATTCTTTTTTTTTTTTTTTTTTTTTTTTTAGAGCTCTCCAGGTGATTCTGCAGTGCCATAGCCACATGGAGGGCTATTCTTCTTTGAGGAGTGTCTCTCACACCCCCTGGTGTTGAAAGTCAGCATTGCTGGCAGCCCAGAGGCGAAGGTCTCCAGACTCCACAGGACTCTTTTTTTTTTTTAACTTGTTAATCTTTTTTTTTTTTCCATTTATTTTTATTAGTTGGAGGCTAATTACTTTACAATATTGTAGTGGTTTTTGCCATACATTGACATGAGTCAGCCATGGATTTACATGTGTTCCCCATCCCGATCCCCCCTCCCACCTCCCTCTCCATCCCCTCCCTCTGGGTCTTCCCAGTGCACCAGCCCTGAGCACTTGTCTCATGCATCCAACCTGGGCTGGTGATCTGTTTCCCTTGATAGTATACTTGTTTCAGTGCTGTTCTCTCAGAACATCCCACCCTTGCCTTCTCCAACAGAGTCTTAAAACTCTGTTCTGTACATCTGTGTCTCTTTTTCTGTTTTACATATAGGGTTATTGTTACCATCTTTTTAAATTCCATATATATGCGTTAGTGTACTGTATTGGTCTTTATCTTCCTGGCTTACTTCACTCTGTATAATGGGCTCCAGTTTCATCCATCTCATTAGAACTGATTCAAATGAATTCTTTTTAATGGCTGAGTAATATTCCATAGTGTATATGTACCACAGCTTCTTTATCCATTCGTCTGCTGATGGGCATCTAGGTTGCTTCCATGTCTCCACAGGACTCTTAAATCTCACAGACAAGAGCCAGGACCCGCTCGGCTCCCCTTCCTGCTCACTGCTCCCTTTCTCATGCTTTGCCAGTTTTCCCAGCTTTCCTGAAGCCCAGGGTCTCCCAAGTGTCACTCCAGTGTCCTGCAGTTACCAGTTCTGTCTTCCACCTGTCCTTTTGTTCCAAGCCTCTCCCTTCCCGTCCCCAAAGTCAGGTGCCCCTTTTCCACTGTGCTCCGGTCACACTGACTTCCTGTTAACTTCTTGACCAGACAGGCTCTTGTCTACTTTGGAGCTTTCATAAATGCTGTTCTTTGTAGCAGGAACATTCCATGTGTCCCTCCACCACCACCACACATAGAGTTTCTGTGCCCAGATGAGGGGAATTGGGGCCATAAACACTTTTCTTTTATATCTGACAAGGCAGGGGGAGCCACGGAAGTCTGTAGGGCCCCCATTTCCCACGTAAGCAATAGGCAGATTTATGAGGGTTGCATTCCGGCTTCTTCCCACAGTACCTGTTGGATCAGACCGATGTCCTGGTGGTTGGTGTCCTGGGCCTGCAGGGGACAGGCAAGTCCATGGTCATGTCGTTGTTGTCAGCCAACACTCCGGAGGAGGACCAGAGGTGAGGGGGGCATTGGGTAGGGGTGTGGAAAGCTGTGGGGGAGGTGGACACCCACCTTTATCAGCCGGGGTGTTGCAAGTGGCATCACCAAAGGACTTTGGGAAGTTACTTCCCCTCCCTTAACCTCAGTGTCTTTGTCAGAGGAGGATGGTGACAGGCTGGACCACACTCTCATGCAGCTCCAAGGAAACCAGTCCTGTTCCTCCCTCCCTCCCTCCCTCCCTCCCTGCCTTACTCCAGGAAATGGTGCAGGGCCAGCCAGGAACTGGGATGGCCCATTCATTAAGTCTAGAGTTAGGTCCACCTTGGTCTGAGCCCTGTGCTGGCTGGCTGACCTCGGGCAAGCCCCTTCACCTCTTGGTGTCTCACTTCCTCATCTGTCAAGTAAATTTTCGGAGACAAGATTGGGAAGGCAAACTTTAACATGAACCTGGCACAGGGCAAGTGCTCCCAGGATGTGGCTGTTTTGGCCTGGAAATCAAGAGTGAGGGAAGAGACCTGGAAGAAGGGTGTGGCTTCTAGACTAACCTCTTTCCTGCCTTGTTAGGGAGGATGGGATATGGTTGTGAAGGTAGAGGATGGAGTTGTGGGAGAGGATGTGGGGGGGGGGGGGCGCGGAGTTTAGGAACTAGAGCTCCAAACTGAGGGCAAGGAAGAGAGAAAGGCAGGGATCGTAAGGAACAGAGTAGGGGATACAGACAGTCTCAATTCAGGAAGAATCAAGATGGGGTGAGCAGGAGTGGTGGCCTTTGGGGATTTCTTTGAAAAAATGTGGGTATGGTTTTTTATGAAACCAATGATTTTGCTGTGGACTCCATGGATGGGCCTCAGGGGTCCATGAACCCTCCAATGGTGTATGTAGGATTTTACATATATCTCCAGCCAGGCTTTTCTTCTAGGGAAAGACTCCATAGTTCCCAGCAGATCTCAGAGGGGCCGGAGGGAACCCCAGAACGGGTTAAGTTTCCCTGTGGTGAGAACATACATCCCCAGACCCAGAGCTGCGGGTGCTCTGCCTCCCGGCTGGCTCCATCCTGCTCTTCTCGCTCACGACGTCAGCTCCGATCTGGCACAGCTGCAGCTCTCTTGGCTGGCATTCTTTCCATCTCAGCTTCCACCCCCAGCTCTTGGCTCAGAGTCCTCAGCTAGACTCCTATCAGCCTGACATGTCTTTCTGAGGCAGCTCAGCCTGTGGTGTGGTAGACGTTTTTACCAACTTTTGTCATCAGGTCTCATAAGGTTTTTTAAAATTGTTTATTTTGTATTGGGGTATAGCCAGTTAACAATATTGTTAGTTTTAGGTGAACAGCAAAGAGACTCAGCCGTACATACACATGTATTCATTCTCCCCAAACCCCCCTCCCATCCAGTGTAGGCTGCCGTGTAACATTGAGCAGAGTTCCGTGTGCTGTACAGTAGGTCCTTGTTGATTGTCTGTTATAAGTATAGCAGTGTGTACATGCTAATCCCAAACGCTCTAACTGTCCCTTCCCCCTGCAAGCATTAGTTCATTCTCTTAAGTCTGTGAGTCTCTTTCTGTTTGTGAGTTCATGTGTATCATTTGCTTTTAGATGCTGCATTTAAAGAATGCACGCGGTATTTCTGCTTCTCTGTCTGACTGCCTTCAGTCAGTGTGACACTCTCTGGGTCCATCCATGTTGCTGCAAATGGCGTCATTTCACTCTTTTGTGGCTGAGTGATATTCCATTGTATATATGTACAGTGTCTTCTTTATCCATCTCTCTGTTGGCGGTCATTTAGGTTGTTTCTGTGTCTTAGGCTTTTGTAAACAGTGCTGCAATGAATATTGGGGTATGTGTATCTTTATGCTATTGTAAACGTGGCAGTGAGTATTAGGGTGTTGTACATTTTTTTGTTTGGGATTTTTTTTTTTTTTTGTCACACCACACGTGGCATCTTCATTCCCCAACCAGTGATGGTGCTCCCTGCATTGGAAGCACAGAGTCTCACCACTGGACCACGAAAGAAGTCCAGATCTCATAAGTTTTACCCCTAATTATCTTGAGAATAGGCTTCCCAGGTGGCTCAGATGGTAAAGAATGTGCCTGCAATGCAGGAGACCCAGGTTTGATCCCTGGGTCGGGAAGATCCCCTGGAGAAGGAAATGGCAACCCACTCAAGTATTCTTGCCTGGAGAATCCCATGGACAGAGGAGGCTGGCGAGCTATAGTCCATGGGGTCTTACAGAGTCAGAACCTTGAGACTTCATCTGCTCCTCTCCTCCTCCACACCCATCTCCTGGCCCAGGCCACTGCCACCTTCCCTGGAGGAGGCCTAACTGGTCTCCCTGCTTCACTTCAATTCAATCAGTATTTACTAGGCACTTTCCATGGGTCAGGCCCTGTTCTCCCCATTGGGGCTACAGCAGTAAACAAAAACTGGCAGAAATCCCTGTCCTTGTGGAGCTTGCATTTTATTTTATTATTATTATTATTTTTTTTTTGAGCTTGCATTTTAATGGAGGGGATGGTAAACAAGCACGTTAGATGGTAACTGAACGGGGAAGGGTTATAGGGCGGCGGCGTTGGAGCCAGGTTACCGTTTTAAATCGGGTGGTCCGGGAGACATTTGAGAGCAAGCAGACTTGGGGGAGGGGAGCAGGGAAAGCATTCCAGTCAGGGCAGGAACTAGGCACCGAGACACCCACATCCTCTCCCTGTGGGGTGGAGAGTTTTCAGGTCTGTGTGTCCTCTGCCTGGCGTATGGCGGGCACACTTGGTAATGAAGAGCTGGCAATTTTATATCGCCGTGTGTCAGCCACTCTTCTGAGGGCTTTACGTATGTTAACCTCACAGTCACCCTGAGAGGTTGAGACTACTGTCCCCTTTTTATAAACGAGGAAGCGGAGAAGAAAGATTAAGGAACTTTCTCAAAGCCACAGCCAGCAAGAGGCAGAGCTCGGGTTTGAATCCAGGCAGTCTGGGAGAGTCCCTGCTCTTAAACACCTCAGTCTAGTAATTTTGTTGAGAATTCACAGGTCTACATATGGGTTGGGGTGAAGTCACATGATATAAAACGTAGCACCCAGACAGCAGGGCCACGGATGGAACGCTTTGCAGGCGGGTGGGGAATCAAGTTCCACAGGCATTCACGGCCTCACTCGAGGCGGCAGAGGCCGAGAACCTGACCTCTTCATGACCCCACCTGCTCCCCCGCAGGGCGTATGTTTTCCGGGCCCAGAGTGCCGAAATGAAGGAGCGAGGGGGCAACCAGACCAGTGGCATCGACTTCTTTATTACCCAAGAGCGGATTGTTTTCCTGGACACACAGGTGCCGGCCCCCACCCACCCTACCCCACCCCGCAGCATACCATGTTAAGCTCCTTCCCTGAAAGCGTCTAAGCCACAACTTTGCCTGGGTCCCCCGTGGCTCTGGCCAAGCCGTGGACATGTGTGTGCCTTTGGGCAAGTTGTGTCTCTTCTTGGCCCTTAGTCTCTTTTTGTCAGATTTCATCCCTCTCCCGTCCCATCCGTTGTGTGCAAAGGCGCCGAAAGAATCTTGTAACTCAGTGCTTCCCAACCTTTTTGGCATTGGGGACCAGTTTTGTGGAAGACAATTTTTCCACAGACTGGGTGGTCGGGGGAATGGTTTGGGGATGATTTCTCATAAGGAGCTCACAACCTAGACCCTCGCATGTGAGGTTCACAGTAGGATTTGCGCTCCTGTGAGAGTTTAATGCCGCTGCTGATCTGACAGAAGGTGGAGCTCAGGCGGTAATGCGCATAGCGGGGAGCGGCGGTAAAGACAGATGAAGCTTCATTCAGTTGCCTACCGCTCACCTCCGGCTCTGTGGCCTGGTTCCCCCGGGGGTTGGAGACCTCTGCTGTAGCCTATTGGTTAAAAGTGGGGGCCCTGGAGTCAGTCTGAAGCCAGATCTGACCTTTAATTCTTACCAGTTGGGTGACTTTAAGTTTTAACCTCCCCCAGACACCTCAGTTTGTTCATCTGTGAATGGGGTTGATAGTTGTTTTCAGCTTCATAGGAGGGTTTCAGGGAGTCAGTGGACCAGTCCAGGCAGCGTGCTGGGCCCAGGAGCCATCACATGGGAAAACTTCAGGCACCTGAGTGTCACAGGAGCCGGCCTGTCCTGTGATGCCCAGCAGCTTTCCTCAGCTACTCCGGGTTCCCTGTTCCTCAGCCTGGCATCCAGGGCCCGTATGGCTGGCCTCCCTCCGACGCACCACGGGCTCTCTCCCAAGCTGCGCGACAACATCCAAGTAGCTTAACATTGCCATTCCTTAGTTTTCTGAAACAGGATAAACAGCGTTACCTCCTTCAGGGGGTTTCTGTGAGGCGTGAGTGAGTGAACACAAGGGAAGTCCTGTCAGGGCCTGGCAGAAAGTGGGTTCTCAGTCCTGTTGGCTGTCAGGACTGGCACCACGAGAACACACTCTCTCCCCCTGCTCTGCTCCCTGGCCACTGCCTTCTCCCTGAAGACTCCTTGGGGGCAAGTGCCTCCTCCCAGGAGCCGCTGCCTCTGAGTGGCCACTGGTGCCCATGTGGCCGTCCCAGCCCTGCTCGTGACTGACCACAGTCTGGTTCTCGTGTGCTGTACTCGCTCCCCCACTGCCTGCAGCTCCTCAGGGAGAGGCCCGGCCCACAGCTGGTGCTCAAGGAATGTTAGTGGAACAGAGTTCTGACGCCGTACACATGGATGACGAGAGAGTGGGAAACCTTGCACACTCTCTCTCTCTATGGGGTGAGACCTGTGTGCTAGGACCACCAGCACTCAGAGACACAGTGAAATGGCTGTGGGTGGGGCCAGGACCTCCATGGAGCAGAACAGAAGTTAAGATCCAAACACTGTGGTATTTGAGTTAAGTTTTAGAAAGTGAGCCCTTGGGAAAACCTCTTTCTTAAAGGATTCCACCAAGCGCAATAAGAAATAGATAGCTCAGCCGCTAATTTAGTCTCTTGTTTTTATAAATGGAATACTCCTTTAAGAAGAGGTGATGAGCTCACCGCCAATTTTTGCACACCCACTGATGCCGTTTTTAAAATCCTCACCAGTCTTCACATTAATCATGGTTATTTGACCTAAGTAATTATCTTAGTGAAATTTTTAAGGCATTTGAAACAACAAAACAAGGGTGTTGTAGGGACATGACTCATTCATGTAGATGTTAGATTTATTAGCCCTGGAAGCATTCTTCTAGGGCAGGCGACACTTGAGAGCAGTGGGGATTTGCAAGAGCTGGGGAAAGTGAAACTGCTTTGAGACTTTTTTCTTTTACCTCGTCTCGCTGATTAGCTCTGTACTAATTAGAAGGAAGCTGCCTGTGTTTCCAAACTTACTTTGTCCTGAGAGACGGTGTACTTGCCATCACCAGGTGGAACTTGGGTGACTGTGTCTCCTGGGATCCCTACTCCCACCCTGACAATCTTCTCTCTTCCTACCCCAGCCCATCCTGAGCCCCTCCATCTTGGACCACCTCATCAACAATGACCGCAAGCTGCCTCCAGAGTACAACCTGCCCCACACCTACGTTGAGATGCAGGTGAGGGAACCAAGCCAGGCCTGGAGACCCGGGGCAGAGAGCTCATGGGTATGGGTTGGCCACTTCTATTTGCAAAGAGCCCTGGGTACCCCGAGAGCTGGTGGGAGAGGATGGCACCAAGAGTCAGGTCTGACTCTGCCCCTTGGAAAAGTAACCCCTACCTTGACCTCCACGTCCACCTGTATGACCAGGGGCTGATCATTGCCATCTGGCTCGACCTAGGGACAGCCTGGAAGGGAAGTACCAGTGCAGTCTGGACACAAAGTAGGTGCTTATAGGCTCAGAGGCCCTTTTCCTGTGGCCCCCTCAGCTGAGTCCTGAGATCAGGGACCCCATTCTGGACCCTGGGGACCTTCAACTCTGTTGTCCCTTCCTGCCCCCCTCAGTCACTCCAGATCGCTGCCTTCCTCTTCACGGTCTGCCACGTGGTGATAGTCGTCCAGGACTGGTTCACGGATCTCAGTCTGTACAGGTAAGGAACTGTAGGGGGTGAGCTAGCTGAAGGACGGGCCCCCAGACTGAGCGATCTGCCCAGCTCTAACCACTCCCACATGACAGCCAAGGGGGCCCTTTGAAAATATAAGCCAGAGAGCGTCACTGCCACTGACTTCTCTTTCAGCGCACGCACGTAGACTGCGCTTGTCACTCCCAGTAAAATCTGAAGTCCTTCCCCTGCGTGGTTTACAAGGTCCAGTGTGATGTGGTCCCGGTCACCGTGTTGACCTTTCCCACCACGTCCCTCACTTCTTCCATCAAGGGTATAGTGGCCCCATAGCTGTTCCTCCTGCTACTTTGAACCTCTGCACTCCTCATCCCTCGGCCAGAAACACTCTCCTCGGGTGCCAGCACCACCCCCCATGTCCTTGAGGTTGACCAGAGGCCTCCCCTGACCTACTGAGTCTCCTGTGACCCTGCCGTGTACTTCTTTGCATTGATGACAAAGCCTTCTTTATGGTCCTTCTCCCTCATTAGAATGTGAGTCCTAGTGCCTCGCACACTGCCTGGCACAAGGTGGACGTTTAACCCTAGTTTGTTGAATGAACAGCGTGCTGAGGAGCTGGCACGTCTGGTTCTTTGAGCCTCGTGGTTCATCTCCTCCAGGCACGGGTGCTGTCCCCGAAGTACCCTGCTGGGCTGGGAAGGGAAGGAGGCAGGATCTGGCAGGAGTGCTGCCTAAAGCAGCTGGAGGTTCCAGAAATGCCCCCGGATAGGACTGGCTCCCATCCGTAGGTCCCAGGAGGTAGCTGTGGGTTGGCCAGCAGCCCTGGGCTCAAGGCCCAGACAGACAGATGGAAGGAACGGGAGCTCACAGGGAGGGAGAGCCAAGCTGAAGGCAGCAGATGTCCCCAGAGTCAGGCAGCCCTGGGTTTGAATCTTCGTCCTTGTTAGGCGGTAGTTGCTTTTTCCACAGTTCCTTGTAAGCAAACGGTGTCCGGCGATGAAGTGAGTTAAAGAATGTAAAGCGTTTAGCACAGTACCTGGTACATAGTAAGATGTTGACAAGTAGGAGCTTAATGTGTGTGCTAACAACTCTGGGGCTGGAGATAGGCTGAGGGTCTGGCCAACAGTAAAAAAAACAACTTTTTGGGAGAGCTAGCTGACATGACTAGATCTAAGTGGCTTCATTTGGAAACATCCCCTCCTCCCACCATTGTCTGTTGGTTCGTTCAGGGAGCAAGTGTATTGGGTGTTGTCTAGGCCAGTCGCTGTCCTTTGCCCTAGGGATACAGATGTGCTCGAACAGATAACACAGGCTGCCCTGGGAAGTTCACGTTCTTGGTGGGGTAGGGGGTGCGTTGTGGGCTGACCTGGCCCACGCAGAGCCTCAGTTTTAAGTCAGTGTCTTCAAGGTGGGCTTCCCAGAGTGGGTGAATCACTGGAAATTGTGAGCAACATATTTGCATATGTCTGCATGAGGAGAATAGCCAGAGTTGATCAGACCCCATTATCTCTTATCTCAGGTAATGGGTTTATTTTATTTACTTTTATTGACATATGTTTGGGAAAATTTACTTTAAAATTGCATAAACTGAGAACTTATATTGATGCAAAAACCTGCACAGCTTTATTCCTAATTGCCAAAACTGGGGGCAGCCAGGATGCCGTTCAGTAGATAAATGGACCTGTAAGTTGTAGCACATCCACATGTTGTTCAGCCGCTCAGTCATGTCTGACTCTCTGCGACCCCACAGACTGCACCGCACCAAGCTCCTCTGTCCTCCTGGAGTTTGCTCAGATTCGTGTCCCTTGAGTCAGTGATGCTGTCTAACCACATTATTTAGTGTTGAAAAGAGATGCGCTGTCATGCCATGAAAGACATGCAGAAGCTTCAAATGCATATAATTAAGTGCAAGAAGCCAGTTTGAAAAGGCTTCATACTGTACGATTCCAACTCCGTGACATTCTGGAAAAGGCAAACTATGGAGACCAGTGAAAACATCAGTGGCTGCCAGGATTGGGAGGGGAGAGGGGAGCAGAGACAATTTAGGGCCCGAGAAACTACTCAGTGTGATTCTCTGTGGTGTGCTCACATGATTTTTTTTTTTGTCAAAACCCACAGAACAGACAAACAGCAGGAGTGAACCCACATGTAAATCATGGGCTTTGGGTGACAGTGGAGGGTCATCAGGGGATGGGGCAGGCAATCTATGGGGAATCTCTGTATTTTCCACTCAATTTTGCTATGAGTCCAAAGCTCTAAAAATAAAGTCTTCTTCTGGATGGCATGAATTCGTTAAAAAATACATAGCATGTTGATGTGGGTCCATGAGTTTGTGTCTAAGGGTTGTCTCTGGATCCCCTAAAATTGTGTGAGGAACATGATGTCTGTGTGGTGCTTTTTCCCACCATGGCTCTCGCTTTAATCAGATCCGCAAAGGGAGCCCCCTCCTTCCCCAGACAGTGGGATACAGAGGGGCTGGTGCTGGAGCACCAACCTCTCACCCAAACTCCCAGGTTCCTCCAGACAGCAGAGATGGTGAAACCCTCCACCCCGTCTCCCAGCCACGAGTCCAGCAGCTCATCAGGCTCTGACGAAGGCGCCGAGTACTACCCCCACCTGGGTGAGCGGGGGTGGGGTGAGGGCGGGAACCCGGAGCGCGCTGGGGAAGGGGGCGCTGGGAGGAGCGCCCGCGAGAGCCGTGAGGAGGCGTCAGGATTGTCTGCCACTGCCTCTGAAGGCCCCCTCAGGCATCAAGGGCACGGCCCCTAAGGCTGACTTCGGCTCCTCGATCAAAATGGGAACCTCATGGGAGCAGGACCTTAGTCTTCCCATATCTGGATTCCTGGCCTGGGGCTCAGGGAGTAAGTGTCAAGTTGGCCTGAGTGGCGCCCTGCACCCTGGCCGTCCTGCCTGGGGCCCCTGCACACATGTCCTTGGCCCACTCTGTCCCTGCCCTGCTCTTCTGCAAAGATCTGGCTCATTTACGATGCTCCAGACAGGCTCTTCCCCATTCTTCCACCCGGCCTGGCCCCTGGTCTTTCTGGCTCAGTCCTGATCACATGCCCACCTACTCTTCATCTTTTCCATCAGACTGGGGCCTTCCTGAGTGCAGAAGCCAGATCTAACTTATTTTTCCGGGTCCCCAGCATCAACAGCATAGGGGCCTGGTACTGAATACTTACCCGTGATCTGGACTCTGGGTCAGGGCGGGTCTTTGGAGTGAGGGGGGGAGTCCACATGGAGCAGCACCAGCTGCCTCACAGGCTCCACCTCCCCCCCGCCCCAAGTCTTCCTACAGAACAAAGCTCGCCGGGAGGACTTCTGTCCCCGAAAGCTACGGCAGATGCACCTGATGATCGACCAGCTCATGGCCCACTCCCACCTGCGGTACAAGGGTGAGGGTCTCCCGGCTGCTCCCAAGCTGACCTGTGGCCCCCTGGCTCCCAATCCAGTCCCATGCCCCCCCCCCCCAGACTTAGGAGGGAGGTCAGACATGGTCCCCTGACCCCAACTTGACCACCCAGCACAGACCTCCCTCCCCGCCCCCTGGCCCTGGTGCCTGTAGCCTCTCATGGTTCTCTCCGCCAGGTACTCTGTCCATGTTGCAGTGCAATGTCTTCCCTGGGCTCCCGCCTGACTTTCTGGACTCTGAGGTCAATCTGTTCTTGATGCCTTTCATGGACAGCGAGACAGAGAGTGAAACACCGCCTCGCGCAGGTAGGGTTCCCCCTCGAGGGGATCGGGCCATGGGGTGACACGGGCTGTCCTGGTTTGAGGGTGAGAGAGACTCTTCCGAGCAGAGACATAGGCCTGTCCCTGAGTTGCTCAGACCCTTTCTTGGGAGCGTGTTTCCAAGTCGTGGAAGAATGGGGGGACCTGCACTGAGGCTGAACTCAGAGGCACTCCTGGGAGGCCAGGACGCTGTTGATGGGGAGGCCAGCCCTCTCTTGGCAAGCTCCCTCCTCCCCTCCTAACCTCTAATTTTCTAGGACCTGGTTCCAGCCCCCTCTTCTCCCTGCTCCCTGGGTACCGAGGCCACCCCAGCTTCCAGTCCTTGGTGAGCAAGCTTCGGAGCCAGGTGATGTCCATGGCCCGGCCGCAGCTGTCACACACGATCCTCACCGAGAAGAACTGGTAAGAGTGCTCGGCAGAGGGAGGGGGTCAGTGTGAGGGGCCCCATGTCGAGGGTCTCAGGGATCTCTCCGCACCTCAGCACCTGTCCTGGAACGTTGATCGCCACCATCTTGTTGCTGTTCCCTGTGATTTTGAATCCTTATGAGCCGGTAGTATGTAGGTCTCGTTACCCGTTTTACTAGTGGGGAAGGTTAGGCTCAAAGAAAGGAAGTGTTGTGTAGTGAGGTCACATATCTGTAATTAGGTGTCACTTGACTGCAAGGAGTAGGACCAGTGCGCCTGGTCAAGTTCAAGGATTTATTCTAAGACCCTCAGTGCAGAAAGCATAGCAGCACCAGAGAGGAAAGCAGAAAGCCGTCAGAAACCACGGGAGCTGCATTCTTCAGCTCCCGTGGCTCTCGGGTCGCATCGTCCCCTCCACTTTCCCACCTCTGCCCTCGGGCTTTCTCCATCTGCCCTCACAGAGCCCTGCATCACCTCCCCAGCTTTGACTCTACGTGACTTTCTATGTCCAGAGCCCACAGATCTAGGACTGCCTCATTTCCAAGAGGAACAGGAACTTGAGAAGTAGCTTTAGCTTGGCTCCCCCGGGTCTGTCCAGTCGGCTGTGGGCAGAAGGGGCAAGGAGTGCGGACACAGCAGGACGCCACTCAGGGTGCAGGGCCTGAGGGATCGGAGCCCTGCCCCTCTTGTTGGTGTGAAGCAGGACCCGGCAGGCGGGAGGGAAGTGGGGCGGTGGTAGGGTTGCGCCGCTGCTGGACGTTGCTGGGGGGCTTCCCTGGTGGCTCAGTGGGAAAGAACACACCTGCCAATGCAGGAGACTCAGGCTCAGCCCCTGGGCCAGGAAGATGCCCTGGAGAAGGAGATGGCAGCCCACTCCAGTATTCTTGCCTGGGAAATCCCATGGACGGAGGAGCCTACCAGGCTAGTCCATGGGGTCACAAGAGTCGGACACAACTTAGAGACTAATGACAACAAAAGACGTTTCTGATCACCACAAGACTCTGGGGGGCTGAACAGATAGACCCATACCCACGAAGGCCAGCACTGAGGGGAGTGGGAAGCAGTTTGGGCTCACAGCTGGGGGCTTGTGGACTTCAGCCTCGCTTTCCCCCGGGGAGGTGAGGGGCTTGGGCCACCTCACATTCCCCACATCCCAGGCGATGGGGTCAGTCGTACAGGACCTGCAGCCAGGGCAGTGCTGACTCTCGACCTCCCCTCACAGGTTCCACTATGCCGCCCGGATCTGGGACGGGGTGAAGAAGTCCTCCGCCCTGGCAGAGTACAGCCGCCTGCTGGCCTGAGGCCAAGGGGAGGAATGTCACACAGAAAACCCCCTTCTGGGCCCCCAGTGGGTAGTGACGGGCTCCCGCATTCTCCCCCCACAGGGTGGAGAAGGGCAGCAGGCCTGATGGACGAGGGACCACGACTTCCTCGTCTGGAGACGCGAGGGGTCCAGGGCCAAGCCCCTACCCTCCAGGGAGCGTTGTTCAGGGGGCGACTGAGATCCAGCCCTGTAGCTGGGCGGGGCAGTCCATCCTCAGCCCCCAGGGCCAGGCAGTGGGAGGCGCCTGTGTGGTCACCAGGAAGCCCCGCTCCGAGCCAGCCTCCCTCTGCAGGGACCAGAGCAGCAGGTCCCTCTGCCCTGACTCCAGGCTCCTGCCTGGAAGGTGAGGCTGCGTCTGGGGAGCTCTTCATCGGAGCGTCTGGTGGTTGGAATAAACACAATCACACAAGTCTGTTCTCGGGCTCCTCTTCCTCCCCAGCGTGCCGTCCTGGGAAGCCCTGACGTTTCTGGTTCCACCCCTGGGGGCAGGGGAGCCATGGCCTTCCATTGAACTTCCTGTGGGGACACGTCCACTGTAGGTCAGAGTTGTCAGCAAGTACAGCCTCCCGTCTGTGTGTGTCATGGAGAAGAACGTGCAGGGCCCTCGCGTTTGATCTGTTCTCTTGAAGATGGTGCCTGCCTTTGGTGATATAGCCTAGCTAAACACAGTGCCTAATTCAGTACGTTAAAAAGTAGGACAGGTCCCTAGTTAAATACCGTACAGAGTCACTCAGTGTCCACAAGGGATTGGTTCCAGGACCCCGAAGATCCCCAAATCGTGACTGCTCAAGTCGCTTAGGTTAGATAGCATAGCATGTGCTTATATCCTCCCATCTACCTAAGTCATCTTCTAGACCGCTTAAAACAGCTAATCCAGTACCAATGCTAATAAATGTAAATACAAGGTAAATTGTATGTAAATAGTTGCCAGCACTTGGTAAAGTCAAGTTTTGCTTTTTTAACTTTCCAGGTTCCCCCCCCCCCAACTATTTTCAATTCAAGGGTGGTTGAATCCGAACATGTGGAACCCTCCAATACAGAGGGCCAACTGCCCTTCCCCTTAGTCAAAACAGGTGCTGCCCTTGTCAAATACTTATACGTTATTAACTTTTAGACATGATGGCTTCCCCTATATATATAGATATAGATATATAGATATCTACTCTTTGAGAAATGGCCCCTCCCTTCAAATCCAGAACCTAACCCTCAATTAAATACACCAATCAGTTCATTATAGTACCTGCCCTCCCCGACTCAGTTAAACACAGTACACCATCCTAGTTCAGTGTTTCCCAAAATACTCGGAATTGGTCTGGTCACCACACCCTAATCCCAAACTAGTCCTGACCCTCCAGTGATGCCGCTCCACCCTTCACTTGAGCACTTGGTTCCAGTCTAAGCAGCTTGAGCTGGTCTGCCCAGTCCACCCCCCATGGCACTTTGGTCTCCCTGGCTTCTCCTTGCCCTTGGGCATATCCTGTATACAGTCCTGGTGTGCAGGTCATGGCAACCCCAGGGGGACTGGTCTTTGGAGAAAAAGGTACAACTGAAGAGGGTGAATTGAAGCGATAGTTGCACAGTCTTGTCCGACTCTCTGCGGCCCCATGGGCTGTAGCCTGCCAGGCTCCTCTGTCCATGGAATTCTCCAAGCAAGAATACGGGAGTGGGTTGCCATGCACCTTCCTTCTTCAGGGAATCTTCCCCACCCCCACTGACCCAGGGATCAAACCCAGATCTCCTGCATTGCAGGCGCCACCTGGGAAGCCTGAGAAGGTGGGGGGACAGGGAAGAAAGCAAACCTCTGGCCTCAGAGCAGGTCTGGCCGAAAGTGGGGAGTCTGCAGACTCAGCAAGTCTGGCTGGAAGACGCAGACTCACAGCAGGTCTGGCCGGAAGTCTAAGGGGTACGAGGCCCAGGGCAGGCTCTGGCCTTGCCACACACTGTCCAAGACCTTAGGCGGGACCTCCCTTTGTGACCCCCAAGATTACTGAGAACTGTTCACTGCCCTTTTACAGAAATGTTTCTGAATCTTTTGTCTCATCCCGCCCCCCCCGCCCCCCGACCTGCGTGGTGGACACCCTCCTGACTGCCCTCCCCTGCCAGGCAACTGGCTTTTCCCCTGCCTTGTCACAACTTAGCATGCCCGTGTCTGTCCCCTCCCCACGATTCCCAGGGGACTGCTGGCTGATGCGGGGTTCACTGGAAGAGGGAAAGTGGGGGCCATGGTCAGACAGGGCATAAGACCCAGGGTGCAAAAGCACGAGACAGCACACAGCTCAGTCCAGGACAGTTGGAGCTGGAGTTTCTTCCTTCCCCTCCGTCAACACCCCCCCAGCCTGGGCACAGGCAGAGCCTGCAGGCTCCCAGCCCCTCGCTGCCACCTCTGGCTGGCCTAGGTGCCGGGCTGGGACCACTGATCCGATCCATCCGGGAGCCTGCGGTTGGGGCTGTTGAGGGAGGCCTGAACCAGCACACTCTGGGCATCACTGACAGCCATGTCCAGGGAGGTGCGGAGCATCCAGTAGACGGTGGCGAAGGACAGGCTGCAGGAGGCCAGGGAGCCAAGGATGGGCACGTTGAGGAGCTTCTGGCTGAAGGCCGAGGCATCCCCAGAGGCCTGACCCAGCAGCTCTGCCACCAGCGCCTCGGTGACCTTGGTCTTCGGGCCCTGTAGCACCTGCAGGATCTTGTGCAAGGGCTGGCCAGTCTGCTCCGCCAGCCTGACCAGGGATCCCCCGTCCAGGCCAAAGCTGTGGCGGTAACCCTCCAGGGCCCGGGTGAGCATGTATAGGTCACACGTCACCTCCGGCAGGCCTGGCACGGGCCTTGGGTTGGCCCCGCAGGCCACCGTGGCCACCAGCCAGATGTGCTGCCTCAGCGAGGCCGCCTTCCGCTCCAGTGTGGGCTTGGAGACGTTGGGCAGGGCCACCAGGAACGCATGCCGCTTTTGACTCTCAAGGTCCCTCACCATCGACTCCTCCAGCAGGTGGAAGTCATACTTGCCCAGGTCGAACATGGACAGCAGGAAGACCTCGGGGTCCCTGAGTCCCTGTGCTGCAGGGGACAAGGGCACCTTGGTGAGTTTCCCCACTGAGCAGACCCAGGTGTCCTGACAGCTGCCCATGAGTGGGCAGGGGGCTTGTTGAGGGGAGAGGGGGGCTGGCAGTCTGCGTCTACACAGCTCATGGCTTAAGAGCATCAGCCCTGGAGCCAGGCTGCTTGAGCTCAGATCCCAGCCTCCCTCCCTGTTCCCTGCGTGGCCTCAGGCTAGTTACCACACCTCTCTGGGCTTCCAGGTACTTATCTGTGAAACAAGAGCATGGGTGTACCTCCCTCCTAGGGATGTCACCGGTGAAATGGGCTGTGAGCATGGTGCCTGGCCTCTGGGGAGCCCCCTGGCCCGCCGCCCCAGAGGCGTGTCAGCATGGGCATGGGTGCATTGCATTTGCACTGGCCAGTGGGACTTCACAGGTGGCGCTAGTGGTAAAGAACCCGCCTGCCGTTGTGGGAGATGTAAGAGACTGAGGGTTCGATCCCTGGGTTGGGAAGATCTCCTGGAGGAGGGCATGGCAACCCACGCCAGGACTCTTGCCTGGAGAAGCCCCATGGACAGAGGAGCCTGGCAAGCTACAGTCCGTGGGGTCGCAAAGAGTCGGACACAACTGAGCGATTTAGCACGCGCACACCCTTTCTTTTCTTTAATGCAAGTGACTGGTCTCTGTCATCTGTGATTGAAATGGCAGCTGTAAGCGGCATTTCACCAACAGGGGCTGCATAACTTGGGTGGCCTTACCCCACCTTGGGCCTCAGTGGGAAGATGCAGGGGAAGTGGGGTAATCCCTCAAGAATCCAGCCCCCCATCAATGAATAAATAAAATAATTAAAAATAAGATAAATAGGAATTTCCAGGCAGTCTAATGGTTAGGACTCAGTGCTTTCACTGCCAAGGGCCTGGGTTCAATCCCTGGTTGGGGAACTAACATCCTGCAAGCTGCATAATGCATCCAAAATAAATAAATAACCCAGCCCCCCAGAGCCTGCCCCTCACCCTCCAGCCGCTGCACACAGTCGTCCCGGATCTGGTTGAGCACCCTCTCCTCCGAGAAGGAGCTGGGGCGGCGGCTGCGGGAGGCTGCGATGTCCACGTCCACCTTGGAGCGAATATAGTAGAAGCGCTTGCCCCGTCGCAGGATCTCGCGAGCCAGCTCGGTGAGGTCGGCGGTGGAGCTCTCCGAGGTAATGATGAGGAAGAAGTCATACCGGAAGAGCTGTACCCGCTGGAAGTATTTGTCAGCCCGGAAGGCGGGGGTGCCGACACCCGGCAGGTCCCAGAAGACAACATTGGGGTACTTGGGATGTGGGTACGGTGTGGGGTCCACGGTCATTTCCACCACGCCTGTGCGGGCTGAGTTGGGGTCCTCGTCCCCCAGCCCCCGGATGGCGTTGACGAAGGTGGACTTGCCTGAGCCCATCCCCCCGGTGACACCGATGTCCAGCCGGACATTCTCCAGAGAATGAAGCGTAGATTGTAACTTGGCGGCGACTGCTGGCAGGTCCCCCGCCTCAAAGGCCTCCTTCAGGGCCCTGGTGTCCTTTGAGAGCTCCAGGATCTTGCACTGGCTGAGGCGTGATTGGAAGACCTCTCTGGCCATGGGCTGCCTGACCCCCAGTTCTCCGTCTTCAGGACTTGATGACCTTGGACAGGGAAGGGAAGGGGAGTATTTTCACTCTGAGTTGCCCTATCTTCTCTACATCCCTCAGCTTGCCCAGAGTATTTGTGGCATCACCAGTAATAGCGCTGAGGGTGTTACAAGATGCCAGGTCTGGTGCTAAGTGCTTTATTTTAGTTCACATTTACTCATCACCGCCAGCTTCTCCTGAAGTACCCACAAATCCTCAAACCAGCCGGAGAAGTTTCCCTCGCTTGTTATCCACATTTGGCATTGAGAAAATAAATGAGGCCCAAGGTCCTCCAGCTAATGCGTGGGAAAACGGAGAATGGGGCTAAGGTCTTCTGGCCCTAGAATTCAAAGTCTTAACTTTGAGGAAGGGGGCAGGGGTTTTACCATGCACCCAGCACCAGGATTAAGAGCTGGAACCTCCATCACTGGTAGTCATAACTAGGGTTTATTTGAGGTTTACTCGGGGCCACCCACAGTTCTAACCACATTCACGATTTTGTCAAGTCCGTATGATGGACGGGGAAGCCAGCTCACATCCTGGGATTGTGTGACTGTCTGGTCCCAGCTGTGCCAGGGATTTGCAGGGGTGACACCAGCCAAGTCACAGCCCCTTTGGGGCTTTTATTTTCCCCTCTGTGAAGGGTGGAGGTGCCAGTTTCCTCACCTGTGGAATGGAAAGATGACTCCTCAGAACCGTCCAAACCCTACTGTTTTAGGAAGACTTGGGGTCTTACTGCTGACGAGGTTCAGGCAGAGGCCAGCTTGGGAAGGGCGGGGAGCATCTGGCTGCACTTGATCGTTATCTGTAGGTAGCCGTGGGAGGGTTCTGAGCAGGGAAGGAAGAGGCCCACTGGGGAGGTTAGCAAGAGCCCTCCTGGGAATTCCTTGGCGGTCCAGTGGTTAGGACACCACGCTTTCACTGCCAAGGGCCCAGGTTCAATCCCTGGCTGGGGAACTAAAATCCCACAAGTCTCGTGGTGAAGCCATGACCTTACAGTGCAGGAGACGGGCCTGGGAGACAAGGGGAGGAGCGGGGGCAGGACCTGGGTGGGCAGGGCCCAGAGCTGGAACAGGGGCTGGGGGTAGAGAGGGGCAGAAGGGGCAGGACAGAATGAGGCCACCAGCTGGAAGCAGGGGACAGTGGTCACCCAGGCTGTCTCTTTTAACTTCAGGCCCATTATATTGAAAGCATGCCCACCCTTTCCATCTCAGTCACTTGGGACCAGTGAGTCCGAGGGTCCACAGGTATAGGGATGTGGGCTGTGCCTTTTGAGAATGGATTTGAAAGAGACCACCTTTCTCATGCATCTGAGAAATCCCTACCATGGGGATTTCCCCCTGGGGGTCTCGAATATCCCTACCATGATCCTTTGTACCCTCTTTGGTGCAGAAAGGTCCATGTGAACCCCAAATAGTCCTTCCAGAGCCAATGGGAGGCCTGGGAAGACAGGAATCTTTTTGCAAAGCACAGAGTTCAGCAAAGAAATTTTAACACTCCAGGTAAAAGTGGAACCTCTTAGTCCATTTCCCAGTGTCAGGGGTAATTTGAGGCCCCTAGATGGGGCTAGAGGAGTTTCCCAGGTGGCGCAGTGGTAAAGAATCTGTCTGCTAATGCAGGAGATGCAGGAGATGTGGGTTCGATCCCTGAGTCAGGAAGATCCCCTGGAGCAGGAAGTGGCAACCCGCTCCAGTATTCTTGTCTGGAAAACTCCATGAACAGAGGAGCCTGGCGGGCTGCAGCCCATGGGGTCGCAAAGCATCATATATGACTGAGCACACACGCGCACACACACATATGTATGAGGCTAGAACCATCATCAGGTCCTGGAACAACTCAGGGAGTGTTAGTGAGGCCATCTCCACTGCACCAGAACCACCCTGTGAATTCCTCAAATCCCACCCTTCCCTGGACCCTTGTCTCAGTCCACGGATGCTCTTGGGGCAACCCCTGTCCTGCCCAAGTGCCCCAGTCTGGTGATTCCTTTTTAAACATGTGTGACCCTCAACTCGGCATGTGAGTTTGGGTTTGAGCAGATAAGGATGTCAGATTCACTTCTGCATCCAGCTGGAGAGCCCAGCACAGAGCGAAGTGCTGTGCCAAGCAGTTGAGGTCCCAGGGTCACCTCACTGTGTTATACACCCTGTGTCTTCTGCACCCAAAGCCTTGTGCAGCTCCAGAAATCCCAACAGGTGCCCTGTCAGACCCACGGCCTTATAGCACCATCCCCAAAATTCATGCCCAGCCACACAGCCAGGCACACACAGACCTGGAACCCCAGTCTCAGCCAATCACTCACAATCTTAGACCCACCCACAGCATCCAAATCACCAAGGCTTACCAAGATCCCTCCCAATCAGACACACCAGCAAGCTCATTCCTGCATGCATCCACGTGCAGACACACTGGCCGTCTTTCTGAAATTAAACCTATTCCAGGGGGCCGGTGCTGTCCCCACCTCCTTTCTCCATGGATGCTCATAGAAGCACCCACCCACCCTCTCACCATCTCCACTCCCATTCTGTTTCCCCAGGTCTGCACAGAGGCCAGTCCAGTGGCCACCTGGCCGCCCCCTCCCTGCTCCCCACCCCCATCACTCACAGGCAGCAGGGCTGGCTCAGGATGTCCCATCTCCCTGGCATCTGTTTCACCCAGTTGGTTGCTAGGCACTATTGTGCCCAGCCCGGGTACCCATTGGCTGCCCCTCCCCCACCAGAGCCGGCCTTTGGAGTTCTCAGAAAGGGACAGAGCCTGCAGGCCCCAGGGCCCATTCAGCCACCCACCTATGTTTGACAGTGGGCTCCTGGCTTGGCTCCTGGCCAGGCTGTCCTGTTGCCCGCAATGCCCCACCTCCACTTGGGGATCAGGGAGAGAGAGGCTTTTTTTTTTTTTTTAAAGAGTCCTGCCCACCCCTATCCACACCTTGAACCTCTGCCTCCAGAGATCAATTCCAATCCCGGTTGGGGACTTAGCCTCGGGGTTCCCTCCACCTGCCTCCCTCCGCCTGCCCCACCCGGTCCCCACTCAGCAACTGCATGTCTCATTTTCACCACATTCGGCCTTTTTTGAGTGTTCGGTGGGTTTTCAAAAGGCTTGGTTTGTGGGTGAGGCAGTGGGTAAGGGCTGCACTTTCATTTGTCTTCAGACAAGTCTCGCTTCTTCCAGCTGTCCAGAATGTACTTAAGGAGGAGGCCAAGCTTCCGGCGGGTCGAGAGGGGGGCTTCCTCCCTGCTCCCTTCCCCGGATCCCCGCTTCTCCACACGGCTGTCACCAGCCGCCTCCAGGCTGACATCGGGCTGAGGGTCCTCCTCCTCCTCCTCCAGGGCCTTGATGCGGACGCGCTGGGCATCCTCGGCCATCTCGTTGAGGCAGCCCTGAAGCATGGTGTAGACAGTGCCGAAGCTGATGCCGCCGGCCACCAGGGTCCCGAACACGGGGATACCCTTCTCAAAGGCCCGGGCCACCCTCATGGCACCATCGGACGACTGGGAGTAGAGCCGCAGGACCGTCTCCGGGGAGACCTCGTTGGCCAGCGGGGAGCGGATGACGGAGCGCAGGTCCCCCGCCTGTTTGCCCACCTGCTCGGCCAGCTTGGCCAGCGAGTCGTCGTCCAGGCCGAAGCTGCGGTGGTAGCCGCGCAGCGAGCGGATGAGCAGCGCGTCGTCGTAGGCGGCCGCCAGCCCGGGCACGGGCAGGGCCTGGATGACGCCGGACACCAGGGCCGTCTTGAGCACCTGCTCCTGGAGCATGTCCTTCTTCTTCTGCAGGGCCTCCAGAGAGATGTCCGGCAGCGACAGCAGGCCGGCGTGGCGCCGGTGCGCGGGCAGATCGTGCTCCCAGGTGGACATGAGCAGCGGGAAGTCGTAGCGCGCGGGTGAGAGGTTGGACACGAGGAAGACGCGCGGTTCGTGGACGCCGGCCCCGCGCAGCCGCTCGGCGCAGTGCTCGCGGATCTCGTGCAGGACCGCCCCCTCGCTGAAGCCCGAGGGCCGCTGCATGCGCGTGGCCGCCAGGTCCTCGTCCACCTTGGTGCGCACGAAATAGAACTTCTTGCCCTGGCGCAGGATCTCGGAGGCCAGGCGGCTCTCCACGGCGCCGCAGCGGCGGGGCGAGACGAGCAGGAAGAAATCGTAGCGGCCGAAGTCCACCTGCTTCAGGTATTTGTCGGCCGAGCAGCCGGGAGAGCCGGCCCCTGGCAGGTCCCACAGGGTCACGTCTGGAAACTGCGGGTGCGGGTAGGGCGAAGGCTCTATTGTGGTCTCCACCACGCCGGTGAGGGCCGCGTCGGGGTCCTCGGCGCCCAGGCCGCGAAGGGCGTTGATGAGGGACGACTTGCCAGCCCCCGATTCGCCTGTGACGCCCACCTCCAGCCGGGTGCAGTCCGAGGCGGCCAGCAGCTCCCGGAGGCGGGAAGCAGCCTGGGAGATGTCGCCCGACTCGAAGGCGGTGCGCAGGGCCTCCAGCTCTTCCTTGGCCATGAGGATGGTGGTCTCCTCCTGCCCGGACACCGCTGGCAACTTCGAAGTAGCCATGGTGACTGGCGGGTCAGAGGGTGCGGGGGGGTGGGGGAGAGTCACGGACGGATGCGTGGTCCTCAGTGTCTGCAGGGGAGAGAGCAGAGGGAGCCGCTCAGGCCTCCTGGAACTTGACGTGGGGTAGGGAGAGACACCCCAGGGCTATGAAGGAAGTCTCTCTGGAGCCCCACAGCCCTCTCCTTCTTCAAACAACAACAACAACAACAAAACTGGAATACCTTTTAGACAGGAAGTAGGGAGGGGGCTTTGGAGTCTGGTGGCCCCAGGTTCCCATCCCATCTCTGCCACTAACCTGCTGTGTGACCTGGGGCAAAACGAAGCACCTCTCTGAGCCTGTTTGATTCTTTGCATAATGAGTGTAATGACTGACCTGCCTCCCGAGGCACTAAGGAGTTTTCGGGATAACCCTAGGAACTCCCACCATTTTATGGGCAGACCCATGCCATCACATGGGGCCCCACATTAAAAGGCCCAGCTCTTCTGGGACTTCCCTGGTGGTCCAGTGGTTAAGAATCCACCTTGCAATGCAGGGGATGGGGTTCGATCCCTGGTTGGGAAACTAAGATCCCACATGCTGCTGGGCAAATAAGGCTGCATGCCACCACTAGAGAGCCCAATGGACCCGACACACAGCTGGATAAATAAATTTTAAAAATGAAAACAAAAAAAAACCCAGCTCTTGCCTTAACGCTCTTCTGACATTGACTAAAATTCTAAACATTCGAAGCAAGGGTGCTGCGTTTTCATTTTGGACTGGGTCCTGCAATTTGTGTATGTAGCCAGGCCTGCAGTGGAAGGGGCTTTAGCTCAGCTCCTGGGCCCAGGCAAAGGGGGCGGTGGATCTCCCACTGCTGCCTCTTCGGTGATTAGATGCAGCAAGAAGTGATGGCCAAGGGGACCCAGACCCTGGAGCCGCACTGCCTGGGATTCCATCCAGGCGGGCCCTACCACATACCAGCTGAGAGACTGGGGGCAAGTTCCTGACCGCTGCCTCACTTTCCTCATCTTACAGATCAAAGCCATCTGCAATCCTTATAGCAGACCACCTCCTAGAGCTTTTGAGAATGAAATGAGTTCATCCAGTAAAAGCACTTAAAATAGTGCCCGACCCAGTATTTGTCCAGCAGAATCCATTGTGAATTTCACCTCAGAGGCCAAGTACATTTAGTATGGCATTGAGCTGTGATATAATTTTACTTTGATGTGCATTGTGAATTTCAGCTACACCTACATAGATGTAAAATGATAATTAAAATGCTGTAGCCCACTTATCTAATGAAATCAGCACCCAGCCACTATTTTGTTGACTATGAGAAAGTTTAAGTTTATGTTAATTTTTAGGGTCTGATAGAATATCTCATGTGTATTACAGTGGTATTCATATGCTATGTCTTTAAATTTTATTTTCAAAAGCTTAAGGCCCAAATATAAACTTCTCTGGAAAAAAAAAAAATAGTGCCTGACCCAGAGCAGGTGGTCTGCGCTATCAGCATCATCGTTATCATCATCAGTAATATTCCTGGCTGTGTGACATCCCTGCGCTCTCTGCGCCTCTGCTGTAGTGCCTGCACGCTGGAAGATAACCTTGTCCATGTCGCAGGGCTTCCGTGACCATCATGAGCCCCCTCACCTGTCTGTCTCTAGGTCACCTTTGAAGATATTCTTGGGTTCAGCCATGCCCCCACACTGGGTGTCTCCTTAAACACCCAGCCCTGCTTGGCAGGGCTGGCTAGGCCAAGTCCCCTCCCTCCTCCAGGAGCCTGTCATGGTGGTCTCTCCTGAGATCTGTCCTCCTCACCTGGGAGCTTCCCTGGCCCTCCCTCTTCCCGGTCACACACTCTCCTTGTCTATCACCTCTAAAATACACTTCCTCATTGACTTAAGACTCTTCAGAGAACCTTGGGAGAGATGCTCAGGTCAGGGATCAGTATCCCCATCAGATGGAGATGGATTGAGGTTCAGATTAGACAAGAGATGTCCCCACTCAGAGGCACAGTCAAGGCTCAAACCCAGGTCCTTCTGAAGAGCTGCTCTCTCTTCAATCACGTGTCTTTACCTCCCCTATCTCTCCTCAGCTGTACCTGGCCCCATCCTCACCCAAACTTCTGCAGGAAGATGGTCCTTGTTCCATTGTTCTGGCCAGGTCTGGTCGCCCCAGATGGAGGCATTTCACCCTGGGGCTCTACCCAGTCCCTCCTGCATCCCGACCCCTAACCCATCTCAGAGTGTGGCCTGGGGAAGAGGAGAAGGGGAATCCTTGGGCTGGTCTCAGTGCAAGGGGCAGACGGGCCAGTGGCCACTGGGGTGGACCAAGGGGCCTGGGATTGGACAAGGGGAGCTGCCTTCGGGGGCACTCACCTGCCCTGCGGGCTCTCCCTCTCCCCTTAACTCTCTCCGCGGGTGGGGCCTCCTCTCCTGTTAGCACAGGATCAGGGCCTGTTGCTAGGACCCATTATAGTAGCAAACCATAGCTTATTGGTCAGCCAGCCCTGGTGCAATAATGTGAGGGTGATGTCAGGGGGCGGGGTCCCGGCCTCCCTGTGGGACCCCACCTCCAGCTGCTCATGGGGCCACCACTGGGTTGCTGTGGGGCCCTTAGCCCCCCTCACCCCCAACAGGGACCCAGAGAGAGCTTTCTGACACCAAGACTTGTTCACAACCCACCCGTGGTCTCCATCACCCCCAGCACAAAATCCCAGCTCTGGCATCTGAGAATCTGGCTCTGCTCACCATCCCACCCTCTATTTCTCCTCCATCCTGGGACTTAGTTTCCCAAACAAGTCATTCGCTCTCCCTTCTTTGCACTGTCTACCCGTTCTCCCACCTCACCAAGGGTGGTGTAGGCTCTGTGGGTGGTGATTAAGCTCAGCCAGTGCTGGCTGAGTCGGGAGGAAGTGCTGGGGAGAGCCCCATGCTATTTGGCCTGGTCCTGGCCGGGACTGGTGGTCCGTGGGGCAGTGGGCAGTGCCCACACCCCAATTCAATATCTGGTTCCCAGGCTCCCTGACTGGCCTTCCTCCTTCGCTAGCATTTCAACATCCTCTGTTGCTGGGAAAGACTAAAGGCAAAAAGAGAAGAGGGTGGCAGAGGATGAGATGGCTAGATAGCATCACTAATTCAATGGACATGAACTTGAGCAAACTCTGGGAGGTAGTGAAGGACAGGGAATCCTGCAGTGCTGCAGTCCATGCGGTCTCAAAGAATCAGACAGGACTGAGCGGCTGAACAACATGAACAACAGTGTACCCTCAGCCCATCCTTCAAATCCCAGCTCAGGTGCCGACTCTTCTGTAACACTTTCCTCCATTCTCCTGTCTCCCTCTCCTGCTTCCTTGCAACCATTTAAAATGGCATTGAGGGGGCTTCCCTGGTTGTCCAGTGGTTAAGACTCCAAAGTCCCCACACAGAGGTCATGGGTTCGAGTCCTGGTCGGGGAAATAAGATCCTGCATGCTACGTGGCATGGCCGAAAAATAAAAATAAGTTTTAAAAAATAAAATGGCATCTTTTAGATGACAAAGAGGGAGATGGAAGCAGGGAGAGATGTGAATGAGAAAAGAAAGTTGAGGGGGTGGTGGGAGGGAGGTTCAAGAAGGGAAGGATATATGTTCACTTGTAGCTGAGTCACATTGTTGTATAGCAGACATGTACAACATTGTAAAGCGATTATCCTCCAATTTAAAATAAATTTTAAAAAAGAGAAAGAGTTGGGATGGAAAAGAGACTCCCTAAGGAGGAAACAGAGGGAGAGTCAGGTGGGAAGACAGGGATGAGAGACTGAGTCAGAAAACCACCAAAGACACTCTCAGAGGCACAAGTTACAGACAGAACAAAAAAAAATGCAGCCACAGAGATAAGAAGCAAGGCGTGGACCCAGATGCACACAGGGAAGAAACTGAAGGTCTAGAGACCAGGACACAAGAACCCCAGCCTCCTGGGGGACAACTCTGGCTCTCCTCAATTCCAGCTCCCATCTCTGCCCCTTCCAAGCCTCCCTTCCACTCTATGGTCAGGGAATCGTTTATGATAGTCTCCACCCTGGCTCTCCTCCCAACCTCCACTCTGCCCAGGTCGTGTGTCCCACCCTCACTCCCGTTTCCTGGGATCTAGCCAGAGGCCCCCACCACCCAGAGGCTCCTGCTTCCAAGGTGGCGCTAGGGGTAAAGAACCCGCCTGCCAATGCAGGAGACATAAGAGATGCAGATTCGATCCCTGGGTCAGGAAGATTCCCTGGAGGAGGGCATGGCAACCCACTCCAGTATTCTTGCCTGGGAAATCCCATGGACAAAGGAGCCTGGCAGACTACAGTCCATGAGGTTGCAAAGAGTCAGACATGACTGAGCAACTTAGCACACACACAGCCAGAGGCCCTGGCTACTCAAAGTGTTTTGCTGACAATCTGAAGCTCAATTCTGGAGAACACTCTCCCAAAGAACAGCTGAGGAAGATGTGGAGGCCCACAAAGGAAAGAGAGGGGACTTCCAAAGAAAAAAAGAAAGGGAAGAGACTAATTCAAGACCACATCGAGAATGGGAAAAGGGTAATCTGCTGACTACACTCAGTTCTTAAACCACAGGCGAGAGAGAAATGCAGGTCAGCACACAAATCCATCCACATCCTCACTGACAGACAGAAACAGAGAAACCAAGAGGTGGAAAAAGATTCTCAGACGTTCCCAGACAGCAAACACATGAACTAAGTTTTCTCCCCGCAAATCCAGACCCAAAGCCCGGTCCAAGAGGGAAAGGAAAGACACAGTGCCTCAAGGACAGAGTCATTACAGACAAGTCCAAAGCAGGCAGACTTACAACAGCCTCGCATACCACACATATGCAGGCGCGCACAGACTAGCAGACCAGAGGAGGCACAGTCACACTCGCAGACATATTCAGACGGCAGCCCCCGAAACCCTCCACGTCCATTCATTCCCCGAAACCCTCCATGTCCATTCATTCTGCTCCAGCTCCTCAGCTGTGTGAGCAGCCACAAGCCGGGGTC